CTACTCAAATAGAAATAAAGATACATACCTCAGGTTGTTAACTCTAGATAGAAGAAAAAAGGAGAATATGTTTTGTCTTTAAAACTGCCAGACGTCTGTTGTTGTCACCCTTCTAAATAGATATCTCAAGCCAGTCCTGACTCTTTAATTACCACAGTTGAAGTGTAACATGTTAAATGTAGCATTTTTCTTATTTGAGGCGGTTTGTGTACTTTAGTGAAAATAGTCTCTTTAATGCTGAATGGTAAGCGTATTTGATGACGTCCTCTATCATATCCTTGTGGAAAGTGTGATAGAGGAAATTAGGGGAGAACTGGGTCTAAAAAAGACTTGATCAGGAAAGTTGATCTAACACTCCCAAATTTCTGCAGCAAGTATGTATGTTAGTGATTCCAAATAATATGTATTAAGAATTAAAGTTGTATCTCTTTAAAGTATGAAGAATAAATTAATGCTGATGTATATAAAGTAAATCCGTCAAATATATTTTTTAGGTTGAAAATACAATTTATGGACAGGAGCACATATATACATATAGGTATTAATTTAAAAGTTCTTAAAAGAAGAACTTGTGAGTGTCAGTCGCATTTATTTGATTAGTTCAACTTGAATGACCATTCAGACAATTATGTGTATAATACCACACCTTATCTTTTGGTTTGTTTCTTTGCTTTTTTTAGAGCTTGATTTTTATATATAAAGAATATTTTAAATGTTGTGAAGGCTTAATTTTTTGCCCGAGTCAAGAATTGTCCATGTGAGTCATAACTATCAAAACCAACAGGACAAAAAACAGTGTTGTCTTGGAGATCTTCCAGCTCATGGACTATATTCTGTACTTCAGTTGGCCCATTTTTTTTTTCAGTGCTTCCAGTATTGATTTTGTAGATAATGTGCTCAGGTTTTCCATCAGTAGAGTGAATTACTGTCATTTCCCATTTATGTAACTTATAGAATAGTAGAGGTTAGAGTAATAAATCCAAACTTATGAGAAACCTCCTTTAAATAATTGGAGTTCCGTGTAGTTCTCTGGGATCACAATAAAATAAAATTACAGTAGCTCGAAAATATCACCCTTCTTCACTGTGAAACTGAATTAGAGCAGCAGTACAAATCCTGCCATATGACCCATAAAAAAACCAGGGGATGGGGATTGAGCTGTACTCATAAAATAGTTACTCCTGCCCTCTGCAAACAAATCTATCACTTACTTTGGAAGGCTTCACATTTTGCACATCTGTACCTTGAACCACCTCAGAATATACGGAGGAGAAAGTTAGGTTGACCACTTTTTAGAGACCCCTGATTGTATTCCATGAATGATAAAGAAAAACATTAAGGGTGTTGATAAAGTTAAATGCAAGAGGAAAATAAGGACGTTAATTTTTTTTTTTTTTTTTGGAATCAATTTAAAGATCTATAATGACTCAAACAGATAGTTGATTTCCCATCCAGTAATCATTTTTCCCTTTCTTCCTTGCTTTGTAACAGGGGTCAGCAAACGTTTTCTTAAAAGTCCAGATAGTAAATATTTTAGGTTCTGTGGACCAAGAGACAAAATCGAGGATTTTACGTAGGTACTTATATAGCCATTTAAATGTAATCAAAAACTGTAAAAGCCATTCTTAGCTTGCAGGCTGTACAAGAACAGTCAGGTGGTTGGAACTGACCCACAGATCGTGGCTTGCCAGCTCCTTCTATAGGACTCTGTTTTGTTCAGGTGTGGAAGTTCAAGGGAGGAGGGTCTGAAACAGCTCTGGTCGCCTCATTCTCTTTTGCTAGTGACTGATGGAGGCATAGATTCAGGAAACATTTCGGGTCCCAGCCATCAGGAGAAGTCCCCTGGGAAACACTTTCTTCTCTTTTAAAGTAGACGTACGAAACTCCTTTTTGGCCTTGGACGGGATTATATGGAGTTGATGCATGAAGCTGCCACAGTCAGCTTTTGACCTTAGAGGGAAGCCTGGGTCCTAAGATTGGGGCATCTGAGAAATTTATGACATTGGCCTCTAGTGGGGAATAATCCTTCCTCACAAAACCCCTTATAGAATGTCTAATATTTTCCCTGCTATCCATTGTTTTCTTTCCAAGTGGGTTGTGCAGAGTATCACCAAGCTGTTCTAGTTTTGTTATTCTGCTTATTTCCATGGAATGAATGCTTCTATTACAATACTCACTGATACTTTTCTATGACTTCTTGTAGTACTTCAGCTTTATTGTCTGATAAAGCAGTCCACAGATGTTCTTTCATGTTTGTGATACTGTTTAGAGTTTGAGGGAAGAATTACACTTTCATAATAAAAATATATACATTTACTAAAGCAAAGAATTTTGTGTTACATTGGTCTGTCTTGTGCTTTATCTAAGAAAGTTTGGCTTTCTGAAATACTAGAATATGATACTACCTGTAGGAATGAGTAAAAGCTTATATATGTAGGGATGAGGACATAAAGCTTCAGTCTGTGATCAAGTTTTTATCTTTCTAGGCTTGTCAATCAGTCCTCATCAAATAGTTGGAGTTTTTTTCAGCTAAACATAAAAGTTTCTTTTATAAATTAATTCTAATAGCCATTTATGTATTATTCCTATTTTTATTCCTTCAGCAGACATTTATGAAGCTCCAGCTATGTCCTAGACATTGTCTTTTCTTGGGGGGGAGTAGAAGGAAGAGTTACATTTAAGATTCAGTCATGGTCATTGCTTTTAAATAGCTTACGATTTACAAATAGCGTCTAGCACAGAGCGTAATAACGTGAGCACTTAGTAAATGTTAGTTGCATCCCTTCCTCGTGAGACTTCTTAGGTGGCAAACAACTTAGTTCTAATTTTGACAGGTACATACCAGAGGGAAAGAATGGGAAGCAGAGAGAGTAGCACAGCCAAGAAATGAGAATGCAGAGTGTACAGCAGAATTGCACTCAGGACCACCTCTTCCAAAACAGAGACGGGGAGAGGAACAAGAAATATTAATTTACATAATCTTAGGGAGGGGTGATTTTTACTCAGTAGTATTTAGTCCCTGAGTGTGTGCCGAGAATGAATGAGAGAAGGAGGAAGTGAATCTGCTGTTTTCTAAATTGCACTCAGTTCCATCATGCATATTTATAGAGAGAACCTCTTCTTACACATAGCGTGTTTTTATTGTTTAAAGATACTGTATATACGTTATGTGCTGTTCAGTTGATCTGCTCAGACACTAGGGGTAAAACTGGCTGATATTGGATTTACTGAGAAACTTTACATCTGCCTCTACTGTTGCATTGCTAAAGTGTTTTCAAGGATAATCTTGACCTTAGAAACTAACACCTTCATAAAATGGGGCTCCAGTGTAATCTAATAAAGCTGGAGCATAGCAGGCCTATTAGATTGTGATGAAAAAATATAGTAGAAATTAAGGTGGTGCAAAAGTAAATTATGGATGGTCTTGAATGACATGCTGAGGGACTCAGGTTTATTTGAAGGCTTTGAAAAGTCACTAAGTTTGCGCCGAGGAATAACTTGGTAAGATCTATATTTTAGAGTAGTAATTCTCAAACCATATTCCCATGATTTAACGGGTCAGGATTTCCGTCACTATAATTGAATAACATAGTGGATTTCTTACCCAATTTTCAGAAAAATGTTAATAATTAGAATGTTCTCAATTGTAGGTTTTTCTCTTATGGTGAAGAAGTAAGAAAGAAATATTCATAGAAGAATTCAAGAAGTTTAGTTTGGCAGCTTGTGTTTTCCATCAATACATGCTAATGACTGTGCTTTTATGTTGTCTGTGTATAAAAAACCATTTTTCTGATAGCAAATGTGTTATAATTAAATATGTAGGTATTTCATGGTGACTTTTGTGAGACACCATTGAGAGTTTAGATGAACCCTTGCCTGAGCCTTGCTCATTGTGAAGAAAGACTGGAGATGGGGAGATGTTTGTCTTAAATGCTTTCTTTTCTTGAGCTTGTATCTGTAGGTGTGCACAAATGTTTTGAATAACCAGCCAGCATATATTTGAAAATTTTCTATGTATCGTTAATAGGAGCTTCCTAGAGGACCCAGAAAACCTATAGAATGCAGTCCATATTCTCAATAACCTTAGTTTTACTTGGTAAACAAAAACTACCCCAATGTCATAATTTCTAAGAAAGTGCTAAAGTGACACAGGTATTCAGGAAAGAAGGAAGCATTGAGACTTTTGGTAATCAAGGGAGACTTGTAAAAGGTGAGACTTGCACTGTATCTCATAATCCAGAGGGGCAGAAAGAAGGGCTTCTCTGAAAGAAGCAGCGTGTACAGTGAACATGGACTTTGATCTGAGTGCAGTAGAGATATTTACTGGGCATCTTGGAAAACAGGTTAGGACCAGTAAGATTTGATCAAATTATGAACGTGATCCCAAAGTTTAACATTGTCTTTGTCTTAAAACTAGCTAAATTATTCTTCTTCCTCCATAACTCTTCAAAGTTTTCAAAATGGAACATTTGAGTCTTTGAATCATTTTTTTGGTGAAATGTGTTGTTAATTCACTTAGGACATATTATCATAATTATTTACTAAAATTAGAAAGGAAACATAATTAGCTACTTTGACTATCTTTGCTTACGTATCCTGTTGTCTTTATAGTCTGAGAATGAGTTTGGTAAAACCCATTCATCCAAAAGTATTTAATGTGCGTCTTCGATGTGGCAGGCAGTGGATATCAGACAAGAGCCCAGCCCTCAGAAGCCTTACGTTCTAGTTGTCATGGGAGTGGCAGGGAGTGGAGGATGGACAGAAGGATGGTCATTCAGGGAAGGCTTAGGTATGTGTAATTTTCAATAAGGTAGTCAGAGAAAGGTAACTAAGTAGGTGATAGTTCTTCAGAACCAGGAAGCAGAATTTAATAATGAAGTCTTTGGCATTTTTCAAAAAGCTTTGACAATTGATTTTTTTCATAAGAATATGTTTGCTAGGGTGTAAAAGGGAACAAAAATAGATGGTCAATTCCCTGTGCCCACCTAATGATTTTTCAGATGAACGCGCTGGACACTCTTGGTCAGACTGCTTTGCACAGAGCTGCCCTAGCAGGTCACCTGCAGACCTGCCGCCTCCTGCTGAGTTACGGCTCAGACCCCTCCATCATCTCCTTACAAGGCTTTACAGCAGCGCAGATGGGAAACGAAGCAGTGCAGCAGATTCTGAGCGGTGAGTTAAAAGAGATGAATACTGCATTCTAGTCCGTCTCTTCCGTGTCCACCGATATACACAGACAAACTTTATGCCACTTGTTTTAAGTAACTCTTTGGAATGTTGTTTGCCTGAATATTTTCTTGCCTTTCCTTGCTTGCAGTTTAGCCTGTAGCCCTGTTCATCAGCCTTTTTTTGGTGGGATGACGTAGGTGTCATAGTAAGAAGGAGGCAAATACTCTCTTTAAAATTTTTTAGTTTTAAATTGAAAACTTGACTCATGGGTCTTAGGATCAAAGGTTACTTAAAAGTCTGTTAAGCAGTGTGGAATTATGGTAGCTCTACAATCTATCAAATAGAGAAAATTACAAATATTCATATGGTAATGATCCTTAATTAATTATTCTTACCTGTGTTATATTCTGACCTGGTTTTTGTAATTCTTAACTTCATTGCACTATTATGAAATTATCTTGTCTTTGCCTGGTTTCAATATAATTATAAAACCTTGCTGAGTGTTACAGTGCCCAGTGCCCACCTAATACAGTGTTAGATACTTTAACTGTTTAGTTTATTGAGGGAGGCCAAACGTGAAACAGATATGACAATAGACAGTGGTTTCTGAAGCCCAAAATTTAGAGGAAATAACATAGTCTACCTACTTAAAAATGATGAACTAGATACAAAAGAAATTTAATATAACTGGCTCTTCTTTCTCATTCCTTTAATTTTGTCTCTGGATTATATCTTCTATAGAACGACATAAACCAGAAGAGTAAAACGGAGAAGGCTACAGACTAGGAATCAGAAGTTCTAGTTCTTTTTCCTACCTGTAGTCCAATAGTTCTTTACTCCATCAGGCACAGGGCCCACTTTTAACGATGAATATTTTACAACATCCCCTTTACCGTCCAGAAATGAAATTCATAGATAATATGACGTAACTATACAGATAACTTCCAAAAAAATCTGTATTGAATTACCTAACTGTAATATAAAGGGAAAATGACAGTAAGTTACAATAAAATAATTTATTATTATTATAATGGTAATAGCTTGGGCATGTCTACACTAGGAAACAAAAATTGACCACATAAATTTCTGAAGGGCCCCCAGAGTACAGCCCAATAACATTACACTGAAATAGGGGACGTTACTCAACTTACAGAGCTCATGACAGGTGTTGTTAGAGCTGAATCAGAGCTAACCAGCCTCATAAGAGTAACTGTGCTACATTGTGAAAGCTATTGGTGAGGATTTATTTTCCTCATGCTACTTCATTCTTAGATAGTGATCTTAGATGGTGATCTTTAGACAGCTGAAGACAGACCTGTCTAGGGCATCTTCACTATCAAAATGAGTAAGATTCTGTCTCAAGGAATGAAATTTCCTACTATAGGATTTCAAGCTTGACCTATGAAAAACATGGCTTCATTTAACTGCTTGTTTCAGAGCAATAGTACATTTGCTTAAAGAAGATAATCACTCTGACTAGGAAATATTTCTGCCTTCTTAGTAAATTCTAATAATTCCTGAAAAGTGTGATTTTTGTTAAAACATTCTTAATTTTTGTCTTATACTTTTTAGTAAGAACCATTTAGTACTGAATTTTAAGTTAGTTTCTGTAAACTGTAATGATAAATCAGGCAAACATACATCTATTACATCAAAATTTGTAATAATACTGTGCATGATTTTTAGAAGTAATTGACAAAATGGGGAGGAAAGGATTGAATAAATTAAGCAGATTAGACCTATTAATGCTTTTAAAATTGTCTTCTAAATAAATACAGTTACAATATGTGACTCCTGGTAAAAGATAAAATTAAATGTTGAATCACAAATGAAATATTTTTCTCCAATTGTTTTGATACTTCTTAAAAATTGATATGTAAGATAAAGCATTATGTAGATAATTAAATGCTTAATTTGGTACATGCCAGAACTTTTTAGTTTAATTCTTCATGTTTTTTATTGATCTGGATAGATAATACAAATAACAGAATTATATGGTAAAGTCTTGCCCTTCAAAAGGTTTTTTAAAATGGGAATTGTTTCTTGTTTAGAAGAGAATGTAATTGTTTTTTCTTTTTTGCTGAGGAAGATTTGCCCTCAGCTAACATCTGTTGCCAGTCTTCCTCTTTTTGTATGTGAGCTGCTGCCACAGCATGGCCACTGACAGACAAGTGGTGTAGGTCCACACCTGGAACCAATCCCAGGCCGCCAAAGTGGAGTGTGCCAAACTTAACCACTTGGCCACCAGGACTGGCCCTAGGATATAATTTTTTAAACTAATATTTCCATGAGAAACTTGTGTGTCTGTAGTCTGTGAACCATGTGCTAGCTCAGCTTTGCAATTATACCTACATTTGCTAATCCAATTCCAGTTTTATATGTGTAATGACTCCTGAAAGAAAGATAAGTCATAGAGGCTATATAGTAAGTTTCTGGTGGCTCTGTCCTGGGTAACATTGTATAGATTCATTTAAATACACCTGTTAATACCGGATTTGCGATCCATTTTTAGAAACCTGCACTTTCAAAATTAATGTCAGAGTAAAGAAAATAAGATAAGTAGCTTTTTATAAACTAGCATTTTAAAACCTTTTTTCAGAAGATTTGACTTTTTTGTGTAGACCTGCTTTCTCTGTGCCTGCTCTGTCCAATGTGATAGCCACCAGCTACATGTAGCTAAATTTAAATTAATTAAAATTAAATAAACTTGAAAAATCTGTTCCTCAGTTGTACTAGCCACATTTCAAGTACTCAGTAGCCACACATGGCTAGTGATTACTGTATTAGCATAGATAAAGAATATGTCCAGCATCACAGACAGTTCTTTTGAATAGCACTTTTAGGCTAGATCTTGACCCGAATTCTTCTGATTGTATATTCCAGTATAGTTAGTTGCATTACTGTTACCTAATCATTTACAGAGGTGAGGATTAGGGGGTTTATGATAGCTAAATTAAACATTGAAATAAGCCTCTAAGACCTATTGCCAGTCCGGTAGTCTGATACTAACTAAATGGTCAGTCTACAGGAGATTTTTTTAAAAATAGCAAATAGCCTTCCAGCCTTTGAAACTTTACGTTTCTTTCCTTTTTTTTTTTTTTTTCAAATTCTAGTGGGCCAGAATAGAGTTGGAGAAAAAATTAGAAGTTCATCTCCAGCCTTTGACCTTAGTGAGATCTTTAATTTCATACTCTGCAAAAGCCAGTGTGCTTATAATGGATTTTACTAATATAGTTCTTTGCATATCAGCTACTCTTCTTTTGCCTATATTCCATTTTTAAATTCATTTTTATATCACTTCTTTAAATTGTGCATCTCTTTGTACAAAGTTCCTGGGCTGTGTATATATTCTTTCAGCTAATACTTTGTTCACATTGTTTGTAAAAATGAATCTGTTCTAAGCCTGTTCAGAATTTATAATGGATGCAGAGCTCTATAATTTGAATAGTAATTAATCAATATCTTTAAATAACTTCTTTACTTTCTACTCTTTGACTAGGACTAAGAATTTCTCATAGTTCTCAGAAGCATTCTTGTATTTGCATAAAAATTTTTGCTTGGTTATAAAATTATACCCCTTGCAAGTTAGTCTACACCAAAAAAGATGTGCCAATTTCAGACAGTTCTTAAAATTAAGAAATTCAGCCATGTTAAGTATCCCTCAGATGCTAGAATCTGAAAATATCTAAAGTTCTAACTCTATATACAAAAACAATTGTCATTTAATTTTGTTGAAATGATAACTAAGACTATTACTTATAGATATCCAAAGGATGTCCCGGTGAGTTTTACCAACTGCCAGAATGACTATCATAGAGACAGAATGTACACACAGACTTTCTCACCTATAATGCCGCAATGTCATGTGCAATTAGAATGGAGGCAAATGAGACATGAGAGAACAGAATAAGGGCAGCTGAAGAAAGAACTATGATTTGCAATACACACTGACCCCAATATTATAAAATAGCCTGGAAGTCAATTCAGCAAATACTTTCTGCATGTTCTCTATGTGAAAAGATGAACAGGGCCTGGTTCCTTTTCTCAACAATTCCACAAACTAATGAATGTAATAAGCTCCTTTTTAAAGAAAAATAATTGTTGACATTTCAGAAATGTGTACTTCATTATATGAGATAACTCTTTTTTCCCTCCATTTAATCTTAGCATTTTATCTGCTAAGTGTTATTGTGACTAAATAAGTACAGTATGTTCCATTGAAGAGTTTTCATGACTTAATTTGTAAAAGCCACTCTCCTGAATGAAGCACTTTGGATAGAAAGAGCCAAAATGTTTCTTTTGAAATCTAAAACTCGTTTATAGCATCACTTGATCTTCCCCTTTGGTATCTCTGATTATAAGATAATGCAATCGTAAATCCGAAAGAGAATTTAAGGGCAGCCAACACTCACTTTATAGGTACAAAAGCTAAACTAAGTGATATGTCCGTAGTCACAGTTAGTGGAGCCCAGTATAAATCCAGGTCCCCTGGACTCGGGTCCCTTGGTGTTATGTGAGTGTGCACACATGTGCAGTATAAAAGCCATATTTAATGTCCATGGACAAACTTTGAGTGATAGATTATGCACTGTTTTCCTTAAAAACCCTTTTATTTGGGCCAATATGTAATGAATTTTTGCTTTGTTTATATTGGATTAATCAAAATACCTCATTTGTTAGTCTCATACTTCTAGATGTTGACGGCTTGATTTAATTATATTCTATTTAGCATTTGTATCACATCTCCCAATTATATAGACATTTTAAATTACATTTCCCTGAAGCCATTCAATAAATGTGAGTTAAACAAATTTCTGTATTTAATAGGCCTGTTTTGTACACTGATTATATTTTGTAAGATCACTGATTTCAGGAGTAGTATTTCTGTTTCATAGTGAGGAAATGGAGACCAAAAAGAAAGGCTAAACGTTAAGTACTGAAAGATGAGTGGCTTCCCTAGGTTTGCATAATAAAATCTATGGCAAGGCTTTGCAACAGCACTTTGCAAGGCCAGTGTATCATAAAGGTGTTCTTGATCTCATGGTTCTGTGTTTCTTCATTTCCCTTTGCCAAGTTTTGACCAGAAAATTAGAAGGATAGAGTAGTAGGGATGGAGAAAGATTTGTATGTCTTTGGATTTATTTAAATTTGGCTTAGGATGAGATGGATATAGATTGAAGTAAGAGACTACTTATTTCTTATCTGAAAAAGATTTGGAAAAAACCTTATATTAGATCTCAGAAATTTCTGACCCCTTGATCTCACTCTTTCCATTCACCAAATAATTTTCCCTCCTTAACTATTCCTTAGAAACTAACGGTACTCTTTCTTTTATGCAGAAAGTACACCTATACGCACTTCTGATGTTGACTATCGACTCTTAGAGGCATCGAAAGCTGGAGACTTAGAAACTGTGAAGGTAGGTTAGTGCTTTCAGCGTCCTGGGTAGCACTGTTGAAGCTTTGCTAACCAATTCATTTTAAGCTTGTAAGTGAAACTACTCAAATCCAAACAATAAAAGGGATGAGCAGAGTAGATCCACAAATGAGAGATCTTTAACCACGAAGAGTTTCCTAGCACTTGCTTTATATCCATTAAACCACTGTTTTGTCACTTATCTTCTCGTTACATGAAAGCTCTTTTATTTCCACTTACATTAATTAAGGTGTTATTTTTGTCCACATTCATAAATTTTTAAGCTGGTTCAAGCCCAGGTAATAGTGCAATAAAGTTTGAAAAAGTATTTCTTGAACTTTCTCACATTTGCTCCGGGAAAGCATCCTTATCATTCTTCAACCATTTGGGATTATTTATATGCAGAAGATGGATTTTCTTTTCTCCTTAATTCTGCTTGCCAAGAAAATTGTATCAACCTTTGTATGTGTTATAGAAACAATGGTTATAGATTTAAACTTTTTCAAATGTAAAATTATATTCTAGGGTCTGGCCCAGTGGCATAGTGGTTACGTTCATGCGCTCTGCTTTGGCAGCCTGGGGTTCACAGCTTCAGATCCTGAGCGTGGACCTACACGCCACTCATCAAGCCATGCTGTGGCAGCATCCCACATACAAAATAGAGAAAGATTGGGACAGATGTTAGCTCAGGGTGAATCTTCCTAAAGTGAAAAAAAAAGAGGAAGATTGGCAACAGATGTTAGCTTGTGGCCAATCTTCCTCACCAAAAAAAAAAAATATATATATATATATTCCAATATGGAATATGCTTTTTAAAAACACACACATTTCCCATCTATAATCATTCATGCAGGGATGAAGATAGCAGAAAGGGGTATGTTTTTTGTTTTCGTTTGAGGGTGGTCTTGTGATTTTGTTTATATTTCTTGTTTTTTAAAGGAAGACTAATTGCAAAATTGGTATTGACAGTCATACAGCGTTATTTTTTACAAACTAAACTTTGTCGCTTCTTATTAAGTGAACTTTATTTTTGTGATTTTTAGCACTTTTATCACTCTTGATGTATACTGGTTGAAAATGACAGTGAAAACTTTCTAAGTTCTGTTGCCCAGAAATTTTATTGTTGTTTCAATATGTGGCCACTTCCAACTTCTCTTCCATCTTACAACATCATCTAAATTATTTAAAGAAAAATAGTAAATTTCAGTTCCAGTAGCCACCGGGGAGAAATTCTCTTCAATCAAAAGTTATATATTTTTTCTTAAAAATACTTTTATCACTTGAAATGTATCCTAATAAAAGAAAATCTTTAAGTATAAAAGTGATTAGGACTCCTTTTCTGTATCATAGCATTATAACTCAGCTATGTGCCCATCATAATTAAATTAATAGTTTATTTTTTTAATGTATAGTTTTTACATACTACACATTAGTTCCACTTGTTTTGTGTATAATAGGCAAATATGCTACAGCTTTTAGGTTTCCTAAACAATCCATTCACAGTACAAGCCAAATCTATTTTTGTGAATGGAATGAAAGTGGCAGAAGAAAACAAAGCACAAATTAAGTGAGAAGCCTGGTAAATTTCTTTTGCTATAGGCTTTAGAAAGTATTAGAAATTAAGGATTAGGAAAAAAGGCCGTTTGCTGAGTAAAGTATTTGAAATTATGAAAAGCAGGTACAAGGGATGTAAAATTGCTTTGGCATTCAAAAAGAAAGTGAAATAGAATAGAGAGTAAAGAATTTCCAAACATTTAATAAACAGAGTGGGCTTTTATTTTTGTAACCTGGCAAAATGAGTTGTGTTTCCTTCCCTGCCTCTTTTTGCCAGTATTCTCTGCAAAAAAAAAAAAAAAGTTACTGTAGAATACAAGGAGCAGAAGAAAAAGCAGCAGCAGCAGGAAGCAGCTTCAGCCATGTGAGGCACCACAGAAGGTGTTTACTGCCAATTTTTTTAGTTTATCTATTATTCATTTTTATTTAATTTTATTTTTTGATTCTATAATTAATGGGTTAAATGGCCACAGACTCGCTTTTGCTTAAAGGATAGGATGTTTGACCTGGCCAGATTACAACAGATCTTCAGATTTTAGAGTTTGGTGCTTTTCCACATAGAGTTGATAAGATTGTAGGCTCTCTCTTACTGCCCAGACTCCTTTCTGTCACGTATGAATTGTAACGCCTGAAAAGTCCTGTTTTTACCCTACAGTGTGAAAGCCCCAACTCAGTGTATCAGTAGAAACAGATGTCTTATAGGTTCTTGGTTTTTGTATAGTAATAGCTCATTACAGTGATGGAGCAGGAGCAAGACTGTCAAATACCTGGAAAGCCCTGCCTTCATGCCTTGTAGCCTAGAAAATGTCACCGTTTTCTCTGCTTTTTGACGTTTCTTCTTTTTATTACCTTTCTCCTCATCACTTCCCTGAATTGAGGTAATTAAGAAAGTAAGTAATGATGTAGCAAAGAGATCAAGAGACTAAAAATGAAGGAAACAGGGTGTGAGTCTTTATTTGGTCCCTTGCCAACTGTATGAAAAACGATGTCACTTAACCTCTCTGAGCCTTGGTTTATTTATCTGTAAAATGGAGATAATGTTCAACTTCACAGAGAATTATTCTCTCACTGAAAGAATCTGAAATCCTTTGAAATTGTAAATTATTGTGTAAATGTTGTCACTGTGATTCATCTATCAGTCTGATGATGCAATGCAGCCTGTCCATCCTTACTTTGCTTCCTACTGCTTTGTAAGTAGATGGAATGGAGCCTGTGCTGAAATGACAGCATTCAAAAGGAGGAAAGGAGACAGAGAAGAGATTTGGAGGGCGCAGCTGAAGGACATGGAAGTAAAGGCCAAAAACTGGAAAATGATTAGAATAAGTTTGATTCATAGAGTTAGGCAAACATCCCCCGAAGACCAAGTAAAGCATTGTTGACTTCATGGCTTTGCTTAGTGAATCAAAGGGCCAAGTGGGTAGTGCAAAGGGCCAAGTGGGTAGAATTAATATGATTTTTCCTCCTTTGCTTGCCAAAGGAGGAGACAAGAACTTTGGGTAATTCTGCAGTCAACCAGAGTTGGTCTTATTTGAGCACAGAATGGCTAAGTGCGTGTTGATACAAGCAGACACGTGACAGGTAGTCTTAGGGAGGACAGCCTTATAAAGATGGAAAAGGAAGGCATCATTTGCCTTGGGAATGCTTGCTTTATTATGAGTTTTTCTTTTTCATTAGGATTTTGGCTAGGAAACATTGAGAAAGATTAAATTGCTCTGTAAACAGTAAGAATATTTGTAGACACTGTAAGGCCAAGCATAGTGCTGATTTTTAAAACATCGCTCATTTTATCTAATCTTTACAAGTAAATATTCATTAGAAAATTACAATTTATCCAAGATGCCTGCAGTATTTTGGAGCAACATCTATGAATAAATATTAATGTTCTTTTTGTGTTTGTCTGTGTGTGTGTGCCATAAAGCAACTTTGCAGCCCTCAGAATGTGAATTGCAGAGACCTCGAGGGCCGGCATTCTACGCCCTTACACTTTGCAGCAGGCTATAATCGCGTGTCTGTCGTGGAGTACCTGCTCCACCATGGGGCCGATGTCCATGCCAAAGACAAAGGGTATGTGCTGGAATTTGGCTGCGATTCAGTCACTTAAGACTTAAAATTTTTTAAGTCTTAGATTTTCTTCCTATTAAAAAAGTAATGCAAGTTTTTTTAAAGTTTAAAGTGTAAATTAAAACATTATAGTAATGTACAGTATAGAAAGTTAAAATTCCCTATCACTCTACCTCCTAGAGATGATAACAGTAAAATATTACTGTAATCCTCCAGATTTTTTAAATGCATGTACCAGTGTATGGGCTGTGGTGGTGGTTTTTAATGTAGGCGGTGATACATACGGTCTACTTTGCAATATGCTTTTTCATCCAGTAGTATATCTTGAATGTCTTTCCATATCAGTATGTAATGGTTCATTTTGTCCTTTTATTGCTTGTATATAGTATTTTATTGCATTATATGAATGTGTCTATATAGTTTGTAATTTATTATTCATCCTTTTTTTTCTATTAAGAATGTATAATCTCATCCGAAAAGAATCCATCCATCCCAGTCAATCAGTATTAATAGAAACATAATTTTATTTTTACTAATTCAGATATTGTGTATTTTTATATTAGTTTATTAATTTATCTAGACAGATTTTAAAGCAGCCATGGAAGCTATTTAGAAATACAAGAAGGAAGTTTTAACTAAAATGAGCTTGCATATTCTGAGTTAATTTCATATCATCGGAAACTATAAATAAGCAAGCACCTTTCTATGCAATTACGTACGAGAGTGCTGTGGAATTAAACTGTACAACTTAGACTTCAGTTAACCATCATGGGTTTATCTTGTAAAAGGGACACATCAGACATGAATAATCAATAATAATATCACTAGCACTTTCAAAACACTGTAGTGCATTGGAGAGCAACCAACATTTGTTTCTGCTGCCCATTTTAGCACTTATTATTTTTGCTCTCAAAACGTTAAAAAAAAAAAAAAAAGCACTGATTTCTCTAAATAAAAATACACTTGATACCTTGTTTTTGCCATGTCTGAAGTGTAACTTTAAACTTATCCTTTTGGCGAAGCCTTTTTTGTGAGGATGTTTTTGTCCTTTTTGAATGCCAGCTGCCCTCTAATCAGGACTTAGAATCATCTCGGAACAGTTTGCTCAAAAGTTGACCCAGCCAGATTTTCTCATCTGATAGAGTTTATGGTTGACATCATTATTTTTCTCACTGAAATTTCTGTATCTCTTGGATTGTGAGTTTTCATTGCTTGACACCTAAATATTTAAACCCATGCACATAAACCACTTCTGAATTGTTAGGAGAAAAAAATGAAAACCAAAACAAAAGATAGAACTTGCTTAAATGAAAAAGTTAAATTGCACTCTATGTTTTATAAGTAAGCCTACAGCTTTCATTAGGAAAACCCAAATGGAAGAAAATCTGAGCGATAGTAAGATCAGATTATTGATTAGTTATTTCTGAAATCACTTTGTGCTCTTGTTCTTTATATTGCCAGGATGAAACCTAAATTAAAAGTATGGTAATGATGGGGCCAGCCTGGTGGCATAGCGGTTAAGTTTGCACGCTCTGCTTCTGCGGCCTGGGGTTCACCAGTTCGGATCCTGGGCCATGGACCTGTGCACTGCTTATCAAGCCATGCTGTGGCAGGCGTCCCACATATAAAGTGGAGGAAGATGGGCACAGATGTTAGCTCAGGGCCAATCTTCCTCAGTAAAAAGAGGAGGATTGGTGGCGGATGTTAGCTCAGGGCTAATCTTCCTCAAAAATAAATAAATAAATAAAAGTGTTGTGATGGAACCTTTTTCTGTGGATACGTCTGTATGTATTTTAAGTATAAAGATTGCTATAAGATTTGTATCTATCACCAAGAAACTAGGGAAACTCGTTATATTGAAAGGGACATTTTTAAAATTATGAATCCTTATAATGATCATTTTAACTCAAATATTTGTTATATATCTTTAAAATAATTTTCTTCTGTTTAGTGGCTTGGTACCCCTTCATAATGCTTGTTCATACGGACACTATGAGGTGGCTGAGCTTTTAGTAAGGCACGGGGCTTCTGTCAATGTGGCGGACTTGTGGAAATTTACCCCTCTACATGAAGCAGCAGCTAAAGGAAAATATGAAATCTGCAAGCTCCTTTTAAAAGTATGTAATTTTAAAAATTATGAAATATGAAGTATATTTATTCGTTGGTTAGTATGTGAAATTACGTCAAAGTAAATTATTTTCTTAAGTGCGGTAAGTGCTGTAGAGACTGCTTCCATTTTGATTTTAGGGGATGTTTCAGTGTGATCTCATGATACGTGAGAAGCTTTGAGTAGTGTCTGAAGTGCCTTTCTGGACTGATTTGATTAAGTTCAGTTCATCACAGTTCATCAAGGTAGGTTGTGCAGAGAGTTGAATTAGTTTGCATTGCTTATCTAATATAGCATTGATATCAGAAAGCATTTGTACAAGGAAAAGCAAGTTTTTTGATCAAGTTTGATTTTTTTCCTTACTGGCTATTTTATTACTGTTAACAAACTCATGCCTCATTATGAAACATTATTTAAATGCATATATCTTATAAGAATGTTATTTTAATATCAGATTTTTATTAAAATATAAAATAATCTCTAAACAAAGTTATTCATATAAATTTGGGGGATATACATGAAATAGTAGAAACTAGTAGTTATATGAAACTAAGTTAATATTTTTGTGTTCTTTTTAAATTAAAGTATGTGAAAAATGACCAGACATGTATTTATATAGTTTTCTCTCTTTTTTGTAACTAGAGAAAAACTGATCCTGGTTAAATATAAATAAAATTATTCTCTCACCACTTTTATGGTACCAAATATGTTCTTATGAGTCTTGAGAATAATACTGTATTTGATACTTGTTCTTATTATCACTGGTTGTTAAGAAATAACTTCCAGGTCACCATGAATTCATTGTCTAGCTTGGTTTATTGCAGATTTCTCCACTGGGCCAATAGTCTATGTCAGGCTCATAATAAAGATTCTTGACTTTTATTTACTTTATTTCATAGGTATAGGTGATTAAGCTTTAAAAATCAAATTAATTGTTAATACGTTTGTATGTAATTTCATGCTAGGTGTTACGACTTACAAGACTTACTAACCTTTCTTCTTACTGATTGCATTTAGAGTTAAGTGCTTTTTCCACCTGTGTGTCTTCCTCTTCCACACTTCTTTTTCATGATATACACTGAATATCTTTATGTAATTGAAAGCTGGTCAAATTAACATTCAGGCCATTCTTAAAAGGAAAAGACGTTCCCAAGACCACTTGGAGTTTGAGAAATTATATGATATGAGAAGTAAAAGGCACTCAGCACCTTCCCCAATTCACTGTCACTGCTGATCCTGAGGCTTGGGGTTTTGGTTGAGAAGTGGTTAGGAGCTGATTCAATATATTGCTAAGTAGGAAATTTGGAAAATAAAATAGAATTTTGCTCTGTTTTTCAAAATGCATATAGAATAGATAGCTTTCCTTGGATGAGTGAAGGTGAAGTTAAAAACAAATAAACCTTAAGAAAGATGCCACAAAAATGCAAACCCCATTTGGTTTTTTTGGTGTTTTTTTTTCTTTTTTGTAGCATGGAGCAGATCCAACTAAAAAGAACAGAGATGGAAATACACCTTTAGATTTGGTGAAAGAAGGAGACACAGATATTCAGGACTTGCTGAGAGGAGATGCTGCCTTGTTGGACGCTGCCAAGAAAGGCTGCCTGGCCAGAGTGCAGAAGCTCTGTACCCCAGAGAATATCAACTGCAGAGACACCCAGGGCAGAAACTCAACCCCTCTGCACCTGGCAGGTAGGGATCTCCAGCACTTCAAGTCTCGCTGTCCTTTCTTGGACACCTAATACAGCTTACCAGAAGGTGAAAGAAATGCTGAGCATGGAGGGAACTAGTCAGTAAAATGGTTTTGATGGACGTAATTTTATATAGTGTCTTATTGTAAAAGCTGTTAATTATATGATAATAGTATTCGCTTTTAAAGTGAAAAGTCTTAAAATTGTAACATTTTTCAGTTATTTTTATTTATATACATATATATTTTTTTCTTGTAAGCTGACATGTTTGCCTTGTTTCACTCTAATAGCAGGCTACAACAACCTGGAAGTAGCTGAATATCTTCTAGAGCATGGAGCCGATGTTAATGCCCAAGATAAAGGTGGTTTAATTCCTCTTCACAATGCAGCATCTTATGGGGTGAGCATGCTAGAGTTCAAGTGGAGGAAACTTCCCTGAGATTTACTACTTTATTAAATGTATACTGTACACGAAGTAAGCAGATATCTAACCAATAGCATAATGTAGCGCAATTTTAATCTTACTATTCAGAATGTTTTTTAGCCTATCTTTTGGCCAAGGACCATGCTTTTTATAGCTTTTTGGTCTCTTCACATTATCTAGCACAATAATAGGTGTTTAATGACTGCTCAGTTAATATTTATTGATACAGATAATAAATCTTAACTCTACCTCAAGTAGATTTTAGAAACTGTAAAAGCCAGTAGGCCTCTTTATAGGCATGGAAATTATAGTTGCTTTTATGTTTATCATTAGCATCTTGAAAATTTTCAGGTAAATGGTTGAGCTATTTGTAAATATGGTTTCTTAGAGTTTGAAAGACTAGTGAAAACCCCAGAGTGAAAGTCCCGAGTCATTCCTTCAAAGCACTATAACCATACTCATCAGCTGGGAGAGGAAGAGGGATGTCTTGCAGCCTTGATGACCTTTGTTGGAACTGACTGCCTGGCAGTCACCAATGCCCACTTCAGACCTGACGAATCACACAGGAATAGATAAATTCTCCTGTGCTTGTCTGTTCATCTACTTAATCCCTATTTGACTGTAACAATCCACAGATTCCAGATTGTACCTACCAGGGGTTCTCACAGTTGGAATCACTTGATGAGGACAGTTTCTGGATTTGCAAAAGCCTAGCAAACTACAAGTAAAAACTAATCGTTGTGATTTCCCTATGCTCTTACTCTCTACTCCCTTGCCCTTCATAATGAGAACGTCCTCTTCCTCTCATGCCCCCTCTGCAAAGACCAGTATTTCAGGGAGATGAGAAATCTGAGTGGGAATACTTTAAGGAAAGCAAACAATCCAGTTTTGAGTTGGACAAACAGAAAAGAAAATTATACTTCCAAGAGTGATATAAATTAATTGAAAGTTTTCTGATTTAATAAATATTTTGTTAGTACTAAAATCCTCTTGAAACTGTAGTAAAACTACCTTTCCGAAGATGATTAATCTTTTATTAAAATTGTTAGAATTTTCTTTTAACCTTCCTTCCTGTAAGATTCTCATGTTCACTGTACAGATATTTGTGCTGAAGACCAGGCGTGGTAAATATTTACCGCTACCACACTACATATACATTTATGTATAATCCTTTTACCTTTGAGTTTTAACTATAAATATATATCATTTGGACATTAATGTTTACCACTTCTTAGCGTGATCCTTCTCCCCACTAATCCATTTGCTAAGCTTCAGTTAAGAGTTTATAAAGCTGATGGAATCAGTAGAACTTAAATCAAAGTCTTTTAACTTCTTTATAAGCCTACTAATGAGTAAGGGTCGGTGTGGGCAGTAGCATTATAATTCTTGACCTGATCTAGTAAAACTTAGACTATCAACTCTGTAGACTCTGTGGATCATGTCTTTCAGTATATCCCATACATTGTGGGTGTGGAAAAGTTCTGTCCCATCAGTCTTCCTTTCACAGTCCTCACAGTTGTCACAGAGGGTGAAGAAAGTAAAAATTTATATGAGTATTTTACCTTTTAATTTCCATTCTTCTGATGGGAAAGGTGTTGAGATGTTACTTATTATACATGTGTGTCATTTGGTGACCAGTGTGCGAGAAATAAAATGTATAGTGGTTCTCTTTTGTGGCTAATAGAATTGTAGTGTGCAGGTTGGCCTTGTCTTGTCTCATGTTCCCTTGAAGCTCTCTGGCTGTTAGCTGCAGGGAGGTGCAATGCAGTCAGTCTGCTGACCTCTGGAGGCCCATGGTTCCATTTTTATAAACTTGTTTCAGCATTGTCCACCACTCCTGCTCTCCTCTGCAACTCCAAGTGAGAAAAATAATGAACATTTTTTGTTTCATTCTCTTTTTATGTTATCCTCTTTGTTACTTCATCCCTACTAACCTCTTTGTGAATGAAGGTAACTTACCAAGGTGGAAATGAACAGATGATTCTCCAGGCTGTGTAGAGGACATTTGGTAGAGGTTTTGATCAACCTGGTTCATCCCATCCTTCTACTAAGGAATGCTTATGAGCTAGATAATGGGTTTGTAGCAGGTATTTTTACCTCATGATGTGGGTGGATTTTTTGAGACACTCTAAACGTCCTTCATGTGTTAAACTTGTAAATTCAAAAATCAAATATCTGTGAGTTTTGGATTATGTACTGTTATTCACTAAAACCTTTACTTTCATGGTTTCTTGACCTTTTTTGGTTGCCATGTCTTTGCCACGTGCAACGTGTACTCTTTCCATTAACATCTCTCATGACACACAGTGATTCTCTGTTGGCACTAGGTAAGGTCATCCTCCCCACTGAGAATCTCTGCTCTACAAAATAATTTTATCTAATGCAATCTGTATACCATATAATCTATTGTCAGTAATCGTATCAAATTAGTATTTATCTCAGTCTCAGTAATCTTGAAATAAGGACAAATGTTAACACCATATAAAAATTTTAAAAGCTACTTTCTCTTCCTTTAGCTAAAGGGTAGGTATAATTATATTTTTATTATTTCTGATATATAAATCTATTGTATCTTTCCAAAGTCCTTTTTTGTTTACGTTACACATAAGCCTTGGTTAGACATTTAAATGAAATTGTAGGGCTCTGGTCCACATTTCTCTGTTAGGATGGCAAAACACTGGTTATATAGTCTTCATCCCACTGATGCTTGAACTGGCCTGGCAGCAGGGTGTATATGATGCACTGCCCTGAAATAATAGTTTTGAGAAGATTTCTGTGGTACTTCATATGGGGTAGAGGCTTCTATATAAAAACAAAGCTATTTGTAGAGTAGTTTGAAGTATAATGTTACCCAATGATCTCTACTTAAATAGCTTCTCTCTAATATCATAAGAAGTTTAAATAAAAGTTGCAGCCTTCATGAGAGTTTATATTAATGGTAATGGGCCTTATCCTGTAGTGTTTTTATATTATAATGCCTTATGTTAACTAGTCTTTAATATACTTTTACACAAGACAGTTCATTTTTCTGCCAGTCGGTAAATTTGATGCATTGATATTTATTTACCACAAAGCATGTAACTTTCTATTATAAGAGTAAGTGATTTGCTGAGTTTTCTCTCTCAACTTTTTCATTTTTTGGTGCTTTCTCTAAAAAGTATAATATTGGAGGGATTTCATGACATCATTGTAATAAAGCCTCTGTAGAATTAAATAAAATGGTTCTAACCAGAGCCTCAGCACATTTCTCTTCTTCCTGCTTCCCACCTTTCTTAAATTAAATGAGGGCCCTCACAGTCTTTTTGTGTAGTGTTTGTCATTTAAAGCATTCTGTGCTGCTGCTGGATTCCGAAGGCGTATTAAACTGACTCTTTCTTCTGGAAACATTCCAACAGAGTTCCGCTCCTTTTCTAGACCTTCCAGTTCAATATTTCACTGTTATATAGAACTGAGCTGTAGCTTATTTATTGCATTTATCAGCCTTAAAATGTCAGTTACTATTTCTGCCCCAGTGGTGTAGCGATTTAAAACACCTGAGAATTGTATTTTCAGTCTAGTTGGGTAGTAGTGCACTTCTTCCTGTTTATTGCTCTTTCAGATGTTCGTCAGCAGATTTAACAAGTATGTAATTGGTTTCTCTGAGCATAAACTATAATTACAATTCAATATAAAGAAAGTTTAATAACACATACCATATATGCAATTCATTTACACACACACGTAATTTTCCTTGGACTATCTAATTTTGGAAGCCTTTGCAAATTAGTCTACCAAATTACATTATTCTGCCAGTACACATAAGAGTAGAACAAAATTAGTCATCAGCAACACAGTTTACTAGCCTATAGCCTTACTGGAGAAAAGCTGGAAATTATGCCATGCTTTTGAGTTAACTGAACAAAAACAGCTATCCTTTTCAACGTATGTCTTTTGAATAAGGGAGGTAAATTACTGAATTTTGTTTGGTTTTGTTTTAAGTGATTTTGATAGTACCACAGATGGTACCTATTTCTGCCTTTTGTGTTACGATCAATTTTATAATGATGGTATATCATTCATAATCCCAAAAAGATCACAAAAAATAGTCTGTTCTCAGAAGCCCTAGTCTCATTATACTTTTTTTTGGTATTTGTATTGTCAGAACAAATGTGGAAGCTTTCTTAGAAGTTGTCTGATTTGTATTTTTCTAATAAATTTTCTTCTCTTTGTTCTCTGAAATTACTTTTCCTAAAATTGATAAATATTTGTATTATATTTAAAAAAAACCTTTAATACTACCTCAGAAAAAGTGCCTGTTCTTTTTGAAACGAGTGTCGTCAAGAAAGGAAGGACTGTCTTAAGGAAGCTGTGAAGAAACATGCCCTAAATTCCATCATGGGATGTTTCTGTCTGTGTTTTCCCCATCTCTTCCCGTTTTGTGAAAGTCAGCTTCAGATAACTCAGTTTATTGCAGTTGAGCAACAGAGTAAGTTAGAAATCTACTCTCAACAGAGAATGTGCTTCTGAGTTAATTATCAAAAGTGATCAAATTATACCAGGAAATGTGTGCATAAGGAGTATAATACCAGTCGCACAAAATTATAGAATATTGGAGTTGAAATGGATTTCAGAAATACTTCAGTGAAAACCAAACTAGCATCCCTAAAAATGTTTATAAAAATAAAGTTATTTTTAATATTCTCAAAAGCCTAATCATTGAATGCATATTATCTTTGCATAATCAACTGTCTTCAGCTTATTTTATAAGGACTCTTGGGAAGAAGCTGAACCCTTTTGTTATATAGAACGTATTATTTGAGAGAAAGTGCTCTCCTTGAAGCTTTCTCCTACACTGTCTTGCACAGTCCTGCCCTTTATCATTCTTCTTCAGTTCTTACTGCCCCTTTGTCCTCCTCTGAGGACTCTTCTTCCAGGCTCCTTTCCCAAAAGATTGTTGTTCTGAAGGCTTTTTCCCTGTTGTAATTATCTTTCTGTGTTCCTTTTCTTAGTGAGCTCATTGATCAAGTAGCTACGACTATCAACTCAGTGTTGCATTTTGTAATCCCCTAGGGTCTCTACCCCAGGGCCAGCACTTAGTAGGTATTCAGCAGATGTTTGTTTGGTGGGTGAGTGGGTGAGGAGAGTAGGTGAACAAGTAAGTGATGCCCTCTTAGCTGTGCTGCAGCCTTTTGTGTCAAACCATTTGCAGAACATCTGTCCTTTGATACTTTACCTCAAAAGCTACATACCCCGAATACCCCAAGTGAAACTTACCTTTCTTATGGTTTCATTCCGACTTAAACTTTTGCTACTCAATTACTGTTAATGGTTTTACCTTTGTTTTTTAATCTTCTAGACCACATTTTTAAAAAAAGGTAGTCATCTTTGATTTTTCTTTCTCTTTTTTCCTCTGTAGTTAATTTATCTTTCTAAAACTTTGTATTTTTCTTTTCCTTCAAAATTTCTCATGTTTAGCCCTTCTTTTCCATTCTTCTCTAACCATCACAGTTCAGGATCTCGTCACCTCACGTCTGGGTTATTAGTTAATGTGTCTGCTGCTGACATTTCCTCCACCCCCTATGTCATTTTGGACATGACTAATTTTTGTAAAATATTGTTTTGTTAGGTTATATTACTTTCCCAAAGGCTGAAGAAAGAACACTGAGAATCTTTGAGATATGTGTTTCAATCACTAGATCAGATTGCAGTGGGTTAGAAGAGACGTGGGCAGATAAGAGAAGCAGTGGGTATAGGAAGCTTGTTTGAAAAGTTTGGCAGACAGATTAGAGCATTAGTAGGAGACTCGGAGTCAGGTAATTGTTCCATTTTATGTGTTTGTTTTCAAGCAAAATCTGACTATGTTAGAAGGCTAAATAAAACATTTTAAAAGTGCCCACAAAGAATTACAGGATAAAAGAGTAATTGTGAAATTGAGATTTTGGAAGAGGCAAGAAAAGATGGAGTCAAAAATATAGGTAGAGGGGTAGGAATAATATTCTTTTTTAATAGAAGAAACTTCTATTAAGGATAAGAATACAGATACAGAGAGAATGAAATGTTAAATAAAACAGTGTCCCCAGTGGTGCTTTACCAGATGATCTGATTCTTAACTCTTCACATCCTTTTTCTTCAGCATGTGGACATAGCAGCATTGTTGATAAAATACAACACATGTGTAAATGCAACAGATAAGTGGGCATTTACTCCTCTTCATGAAGCAGCCCAAAAAGGAAGGACACAGTTATGTGCTCTACTCCTAGCACATGGTGCAGATCCAACCATGAAGAACCAGGAAGGTCAGACACCTTTAGATCTGGCAACAGTAAGTTCCCTTTTCAAAAGTATTGCTTTCTGTACTTTCAGAGATGACATTAAATTCCAAGGCTTAGCAGGTTTACTTTTAGCAGTGCATATTTCGCTTAGAAGAACAAATTTCCTTCCTTCTGAAATTTTTTAAGTTCTCATTTTTTATATAATTTAAAACTCTGAAGGTGAACTAAGCAGTAAGTTAATTTACTTCTTTTTGCCATGCTTAACTTGGAGGGAAACTTGAACCATAGAAAACACATACTAGAGTGATTCCTCAAAGAATTACATTTAAGTATCTTACATATTCAAAATTATTTGGCATGTTATTCTAGAGCAACTGATGTTCATGATCATTTAACTGAGGCTATGAGATAGTCAACGGAAAATTAACTTCTGGTCAGTATATTATTATCCTGAAGATGGAAATTAATATACTCTAGAAATATTTTCAAAACAAAGAATTAAATTTAGTGGTTAAATATTAACTACAAAATTAAACAACAGCATCATCTTCCCTGAACTTCTTGAAAATGGCCACAATTATGTATAATTTTTATGGATAATTTTTTAAACCAGAAATACTTTTCCAAGCCACATTCTGTTTCCTGTATCTACTGCTAAGTAACAAAGGATTTCAAAACACTTAGTAACTTAACCCAAACTGAGGGAGTGGCTTATACAGTTACTTAGTATTTCTCACAGTTCTGTGGGTTGACTGGGCTCCGGTTGGTAATTCTGCTGTTTGTTCAGCTCCCTTCAGCTGGGAGCTCAGCTGAGGCTGCAGCATCTAGGATGGCTGGTCATCCTACAGGGCCTCTCTCACCTGCTATCTCGTCTCTCGGTATCCACTCAAACTTCTTTACAACATGGAGGATGGCTTCTAAGACAGAAAAAGTGAAGCTGCCAATTCTTTTAAAGCCTGGCTCAAAAACCTCAGAACATTACTTCCTCTGCTTTCAAGGGGCAACCCAGATTCCAGGGAAGGAAAATAAATACGACTACTTGATGGGAGGGGTGGCATACGTGTACACAGAGGAGGGAATTAATGGCTGGCTAGCTTTGGAGGCTGTCTCCCACATCTTCTAACAGCAGTTAATGCCTAACAAACTGGAAAGTTCATGAATAGCTAGCCAAATTAAAGTGCTGCCGCTTTAAAATTGCACCAGATTTTAATTGTACATTCAATTTTTGAGTGTGCACTAAATAACTGAACAAAAATTATTGTAAGTTGTTTAAGCATAAACAAAACATAGTAAATATGGAAACTCCTAAAGAAGAGATTAAGAATCAACACTCTGAAATATGCTTTTTTGTTAAATGAAAGATGAAATATTTTATTTTTTAACTCTATTCAAATCTTTATTAGTTTACATATTCTTTAAATGCATATGTAATCAGTATGAACAATCGGAATCGTATGTACACTTTTCCCTTAGTGTTCAGAAAGTGTTTCCAAGAATCAACATAGCCCACATTCTTTTTTTTCGGTTAACCTTTTTTGTTTGTTTGTTTTGGTGGCAGGAACACCTAAGATGTATTCTCAGCAAGTTTCAAGTATATAATATAGTATTAACTGTAGTCACCAAGCTGTACATTAGATCTTCAAAAGATAAAATATTTCTTAAAAATTGTATAGTTTCTCCAGTTCTACCCGCTGAAACTACTGGGACTCTTTGGAGCTGCAGATTAGAGAAGGAAAGAAGACGGAATGATCAAAAACAAATAGGGAATAGGGAGGCATTCATTACAGAAAAAATTCACAAAGCGTTTGGTCCTTAGTGAAAAACTTACCGTTTTAAAATGTACTATTTTGTGTTTTTTGTATTACTATTTTTAGGCTGACGATATCAGAGCTTTGCTGATAGATGCCATGCCCCCAGAGGCCTTACCCACCTGTTTCAAACCTCAGGCTACCGTGGTGAGTGCCTCTCTGATCTCACCAGCATCCACCCCTTCCTGCCTGTCCGCCGCCAGCAGCATCGATAACCTCACTGGCCCTTTAGCAGAACTGGCAGTTGGAGGAGCGTCCAACACAGGGGATGGTGCAGCGGGCACAGAAAGGAAGGAAGGAGAAGGCAAGTATGCCCTGGGAATGCTTATTTGGCTTTTGACTTTTGTTCTTTTAAATTAACAGATTCACTTTTTAATATTGGTAATTCTTGAACATCCTGTCTGCAACTTTTCATATCCATAACAGCTTATAAGAAATATGTCTTCATAAAATAAGTTCCTTGATATCTACATTGTTCTTACTTATATATAGTCCAGTACATCTGTTTCCAACCATAGTATGTTACTGAACTACTGAATGAGTCTTATTGCTGAAATATATCAGAAAAAAACTGAAAGATTACATAGGGAGAGAAAACTAAACAATAGCTGATAAATTTGGAGTTTTAAATCCACCATTAAATATTTTACAAAAGAATTAGATTATGCTCTATAATATTAAAATTAATGTAAATACTACTGATTTTATAAAGATAAAAATAAACGCTGCTTTAACTTCTCAAGCAAATTCAAAGATCACTTGAAGTGCCTGAATGAAGTTTGTGTATTCTGGATTATTTTATGCTATGTAAATTCATCCGCACAGCCACGGATGTCAGAGAGCCATGGCTTTAAGTGAATACTGGACCTTCCTTTAGCTTGATAAAGTTCTTTCTGAGAAACGTTAATATATGTCTGTTTTAGTTGCGGGTCTTGACATGAATATCAGCCAGTTCCTGAAAAGCCTGGGTCTTGAACACCTTCGGGACATCTTTGAAACAGAACAGGTAAGCTCTCTTACATATAGTTGAGAATGTTAAATTAAATATCAACAGTTACTAATTGCTACTCATTGTTTCTTTTTTGCTTCTTAACTGCTATTTTAAAACTCACAACAAGTTTCTAAAGAAGCCAAGGGAATCCAGTATTGTATACTTCTCCCCAAATTGCCTAACAGATGATGGGAGTCTTTGTTATTTTGTTATATCTTTATAAACAATCTGGCTCTATATGATTTATTACATGTCAGGACTTAGGCTGTGAAACTGCCTCAAAAGAATATTTTCAAAATCTTCCTTCACTGTTGTGTTTCCAAGAGATATTGACACTTACTCATCTCATTTTACTACTAATGGGACTAGACTCCACTTAAGGAGTGAGAAATTTTTATATTAACTGTTTAGTAAAATCTTCATGAAGCAATTGTCCATTAAATTGGAAAGCGAAGTAATTCTTGGACAAGTATACCTTTTTAAAATTGCCCCTCTATGAAGTTTCTGTGGTTCAGTTGGAGTCTAAAATAATGTTGAAGCAAAACTTGGCCATATATTCACAGACCTATCCTATTTTCGGGTACATCTTAAAGGTCTGTGAAGTATAGTGTGAAGTCATCATTAATGTGTTTATGAACTTAGATTCTTCTGTTTGTCATTATGTTTTTTACAAAATAATGAGTTTTTAACTTATTACTTTATGCTTTTATTACCATGATCAGTGTTAAATATTGAATAATAATAATGAGTTTAAATTGATATACATAGAACCTTAGAATGGGAAAGATCTTTAGAGATCATTAAGCCATTTTCCCAGATGTAGGAATTGCCCTTTTAACATCCACCGGGGAGGATAACTTGTTACAATGAGGGCCGGTATAATAAAATGCTTGTAATTAAAGTGTGCCCAAACTGCCCCCGTGTATAATCCCTTGATCTCATGTTTACATTTACCCTGTTTTGCACAGAAATGTAATCTCTAGTCTACGTAAGTATTCGTCTGGTAGAGCTGCTGTAACAAATTACCACAAACTTGATGGCTCAAACAACAGAAATTTATTCCCTCCCAGGCCTGGAGGCCTGAAGCTCAGAATCACAGTGTCAGCAGGGCTGCAGTTCCCGCAGAGGCTCTGGGGAGAATCTGTTCCATGCCTCTGCTGGCTTCTAGACCCCTATGGCTTGTGTCCACATCACTCCGGTCTCTGCTTCCATCTTCCCCGTCTGTCTTCTCTTCTGTGTGTCTTTTAGAAGGACATTTGCGTTGAATTTAGGGCCTACCTGTATAGTCCTAGGTGATCTCCTCATCTTAAGGTCCTTAATGTAACTACATCTACAGAGATGTCAAGAACAGTTTCCAAGTAAGGTCCTCCGCAAGTTCTGGGGGTTAGAACATGGATGTGTCTTTTTGAGGGCCGCCATCCAGCTTACGACAGCATAATACAGCCCTTCATGTGATTCTAAGACCATGTCAACTTCTCATGGACTTACCCTTCCAACCACTCACTCCTACAAGGTTTCTCCTCTTTAAGGATAAATTTACCTTCTTTTTCAATTATTCTTTATATAGATACAGTTTCCACATTCTTTGCTGGCCTCTTTGCCCCATTCTGGCTTCTTTGTAGATATATAGTCAATTTGGAGTTCGTTAAAATCCCCAAGTCTTTTTCATATCAGTTAATACTGGTAAGATTTTCTAATGTCTTCTTCTTTTTTTAGCTAAATTTCTTTATATTATTTATTGTAGTTCACCTTTAATCCTCTTAATGATCAAAACCGTGGATCAGAAATAGCACTGGGCTAAAAGAAGACCTTGATTCTGATTATTTCCTGCTGCTTCTTAGCTGTGTGACCTTGGTGAAGACATTTAACCTATCCCTTCCCTTACCTGTAAAATATAAGAATACCTTCAAATGTCCAGGTAGTTAAAGTTCCTGGTCATACTGTGCTTCTCTGCCAGTTTTCAAATATGCTCTAATGAAGCATTGGATGTGTCTTTTGTCCGGTGGTAAGGACTTCATAGACTGCTAGAATCATTTCCTTTCCTTTAAGCTTCAACTACCATTAATTCACCCTCTGGTTTGGAGATTTCTTATGAGAATATCCTAAACACTAGAATCTTTTTGCCTTCTTCCCTGCCTGAAGGTATTAAAGCTGTTTTAAATCGTTATCCTCTGCTATAGCCATATTCCAGCCATATCTCTTATTCCCAAATCATATCCACAATAACTGTGAAATTTCACACATCTTTACTTAATAAACCAAAGACCCTAATTCAAACAAATAACTCCAATTGGCTGTTGAAAGTTTTTCAAAGGACTTGAGTTTCTACTCTTTCACACATTTTGCATCGTAATTTTATTTTCTTTTTTCTTTTTTTACTTTACATATTCTCTTTTTCAGTGACTGATTTCCTGTGGCATGGTTATCTCATTAATTTTAATAGTTTAATGGTTTAGGCTTACAGTTGGTCCTTTTGACAGCTTATCCTGGCTTCATCAGTTTCATTGTTATCTTTTTCACTGCAGTTTTGTTCTGAGTAAATGGTTCCATTGATTTTTTTTGCCAGAATAATTTCTATATCCCTTTTTTTGATCATTATGTTGACTATTCCATTAATGTATATTACCTAGCGCAGTTACCTTCCTCCAGACAAATGATACTGCCTTTCTTTGTATTGAACTATGTTTGACTGTCTGCTGGCCCAGTCATTGAGCAATCAAATTAATTTTCATTTTGACTGCAAGTGTTACTTGACTAGCCTTCAGTTGTGGAGTAATAAATTCTGTAACCGTTTCCATTAACTTACCCATAGAATTTTCTCCTGTTAACATTCTATATCAGGCTAATAATATGTGATGATGGTCAAGATATTTGTGTAGGCAGGGTTCATGCATTGTATTCATTTAATTCATGCCTATTTAGCTTAAGCCAGAGAGTCATTCTCTTTCCTAAGATACTTTGACACATAATATCTTATTGTTTCTCTTTGTACTCATGCATACTTCTCTCCCAGTGGAGTTGGAAATATAGTTACTCTGTTTCTGGTCCCAGGAAAACTTCGTTCAGAGCATCAGAGCCTCACATCTTATCTTCACAGTTGTTCTTTCAGAAGTCTCTTAACTAACTTGTCTTGACATATATACTTTACCAAGTTCTATATTAAATAACGTATACTTGTATTCTTTATAGCTAGTTATATACAGTACCAGTGTCACCTTGGCCCTTTATAATGTAGCTTTCTGACTAGCACACTTTTCCATGGGAAAGACCGATTCGATTTACACTGCAGTCCTTGGAACAGAATGCCGTGACTTAGAAGACTCCTTGTGAGCATATGTATGGTCAACCTGTATATTTTCAGGAAAAGTGACCATATAAATTTTTATTTCAAATTCTTAAAGACAAAGGCATGGACTCAAGTAAATTCATTGTGAACATGTTTCTAAAGTTAGTTCTAATAACTGTTACTGAAGCCTGCAACCTTGTAAGCCCAAGTAAAAAAAAGACTTTTTTCATTAAAACTCTCATTTTTCTGTCTCCATTCCAGATAAAATGAACAAATCTTAGAAAGAAGAGGCAGTCCTTCTTGAAGTAACCTTCTTGAAGTGACATTTGCTTTATATGCAAGATGATTTAGCTGATACATGGATGGTCGTTATTTTAAAGATTGTAATTTGATTTTACTGTGTGCTAGATATAAATAACTGGTCCGACAAACTTGTAATTTCTTGGATAAAACAAAGTTAAGATTTTTTTTTTAAAAGGAGTCAATGTAAAGATAATTTCCAGAAAAATCTTTTCTAGAAGTATAAACTAAGCCCTGCATCTTGGAGCAACATGTCTGAAATCCAGATAACCTGCTTTACTTCCAGGTGCTTCATTTCTTTTCTTGATACAATAAACTCATATTTACTCAGCTTCAGAATTTTTGAATAATCTTTCCTTCCATTCCTTTTTTCCCCCCCCTTAACCATTTCTATGTACCAGTCCCTGTATCTCTCCCTTTGAAATTGCTCTCTGATTCATCTCTTTTACCCCACTCCATCTTTATCTTGTTCAGTCGCTTTCTCTTCCAAATCTGCCCTTCATAGCACCACCGTTCTCCTCCTAAAACACAGCTTTGTATTACTCCGCTGAAAAGGCTTCCTGGGACCTGTCGGATGCTATCTTACCTTGATACGTGGAGCCCCTTAAGATCTGCCCTTTGCCTGTGCTCTGTCCAGCTCTTCTTTTACCCCTGTGTGTACGTGATACTCTTACCATTTTGAACTTCAGTACTTAGTCTCTCAGACGTTCTGTATTCTCTCACTTAAGTTTCCTTTTGCACATGCTGTTCCCTTTCTGTTAAACATCTGCCCCTTCTTCCTCTGCCTGATTGACTCCTGCTTCTTAGCTGAATTACCTTCTTCTAACAACCTTCCTTGACCCCCTTTCTTCCCTCCTAGTCCTCCTTACGGCCTTGACCAAGTAGGTAACCTCCGTAAGAGTTCCCGTAGGGATTCCCCCCAAATTTACCAACCTTTACCATATTTTTTGTTTACTTTTTATCTCCTTGGAAGAGGAAATAGCCTGAACTTTGGTGGTAGTATCCTGCTCATTTCCTGGCCCCACTCTTTTACTACCATTTTGGACCAGTTATTTAACTTTCTGAGCTATAGTGGGTTGTTTTAGAATTAAATGAAGTGTTTATTTAGTTCCTTTTTTGGAAATATCTAGTATGTAGAAGATACTCGTTAAACATCTTATATATGAAGGAGTGAACAAATGAACATAAACCTAAGTTCCTTAGCTTATCATTTAAGGTTTTCCAGTGGCCACTGCCTGATGAATATGGGGACAAATTGGGCATGTGACTCAAAGCAAGTAAATGTTTAGTTATTTTAGTTCTCTAGGCATCCTTTTCAGGAACATAAGCAAGGGAAAGATTCCTATGGCAATACATCTCAGCTCTTCGGTGTACTGTTTTTATGACTTCTCTGAGCCTCAGTTTCATCATAAGGGTGTTAATAGTACTTCATAGGTCATCATGAGGATTAAATGAGGTATTCATTTTATGATTGGGGATATATAATGAGCAGATATATTAAACGTTCTCCATTTCTTCTCTAAAACCTTGTAGAACTACTGTGTTGTGCTGGCCTGGTTTCTGCGTCTTCCGGATAAACACTATATGTATCAATTCAGAAAAACTTAAGGATTTTTTGAATTGAAGCTACCACATAGATATGAGATCCTGTTTTTTATGTTAATCTTATTTAAACTGAAGTATAGAATGCTTGGAAGGAAAAACATGGCATATCAATAATGTAGTAAGCCCTGTATACAGTTTCCAAATTATATTAAAATCACATTTGCTAAAAATGTAAGGACTTTTATTATTTTGTGAAATATTCTGTCTCAAAGATATATGTTTCAGAACTGTTGCTTTTTAGAGCTCTGCTGTAAACTTCCTTTGAGTGAGTGGAAGTGAATTGCCCATTTTGTGCAATGAAGCAATTATTTCTTAAATGGCCACTTAAAAGCAATATAGTAAATTATTTCCAAAGAACGAGTGATGTATGCTTGTTGCATTGAGAAGATCGGACGTATTATATAATATTTCATTCTGACAATAAAAATCAGCAGAGCAGGGCTGGCTCTGTGACCGAGTGGTTAAGTTCGCGTCCTCCGCTGAGGTGGCCCAGGGTTGGGATCCTGGGCTCGGACATGGCACCACTCGTCAGGCCACATTGAGGCAGCATCCCACATCCCACAACTAGGACCTGCAACTAAGATATACAGCTGGTGGGGGGGTGTGTGTGGGGGGGGGTTGTTGGGGAGATAAAGCAGGAAAAAAAAAAAAGATTGGCAACAGTTGTTAGCTCAAGTGCCAATCTTAAAAAAAAAAAAAAAAAAAAATCAGAGCTCCAGGCCTAATTTGTCAGTCTTTTAAAATGTTCTGTGTAAGTATAAAGGTAGAGAAGCTATGGATAAATAAAAATATCCCATTTGAGTGGAAAAAGGGTGTCTATAAAAGAATTTCTCAGTTTTCTAAGGAAAGAGAAAATCAAAGGCTAGTCTCAGGAAGTAGTATTTGGATTGTCACAGGGCCAGCTTCCTCTGAGCTGGAAAATTGCGTATTGAGCCCTCAAGAAGTGTGGCCGCCCAAGGTTTCACCTGTGCGTTCAGAACGCTGCCACTGGGTGGCGGTAGAGTCACAGCTTCATTTAGTCAACATAGGGAATTCGGTGATTTTGAGTCATGGTGGTAGCTAACTAATCATCTCCATCTATAGGGACGAATGACCAACAATTAAAAACCACTGTTTTAGACAACAATAGATATGTTAGTTAGGCTTCAGGGATTGTTAATCTGAGAATTTATAAGAAAACTTAAAAACCACCTACTCTCTCTTTTTCTTCTTCAAATTAGAATTCTTTATATAGCTTCTATATAAAATGGTCTGTAATCTAACAAAATACTTGTGACATAAATCTCACTGTTTTATAAGGCAGTCTTTCTGTGCTTGAATATTTCTTAGCCCTGGGAAGTTCTTCCTTATCTTTATATAAATCCTGCTTACCTAAAACCGATTCCTGCTTTTGCCACGTTCTGTTTCGTTGTGCTAAGCACCTCTCCCTTTCCCTTACCATTCACCTCTACTGCCTGCTGCGCACCGGGATCTGGGATTTCCGCACTTTCAAGCTACTGGTTGCCCTCGTAGATCTTGGGGCAAGCAGAAGGTGGTAGAATTAAATAATTAAAAGGAAATATAGCAATGATCATTTTATATTTCCAGAACATTGTTCATCCCATTTTAATTCTCCATCTACTAAAAGCAAATTAAAGAGTATTTCATGTGAGCAAAAGGCAGATAAGATTATCAAGACAATTTTAAGAAGATTATAAGTTCGTGCATATAAAGGACACAGTAGAATTTTCTTAATTTGAATGGGTATTCCAGCGTTGAAGACATGGAAGAGTTTTTGTTGTCTGAGGAAGTGTTAAAGATTTAACAATTAATTCGGTATCATTTTTCAGATTACTCTAGATGTATTGGCTGATATGGGTCATGAAGAGTTGAAAGAAATAGGCATTAATGCATATGGACACCGCCACAAATTAATCAAAGGAGTGGAAAGACTGTTAGGTGGGCAACAAGGTAAGCTATTCAGAGAAAAATAAATTTCAGAAATTAGTGGTACAAGGTAAGTGTCAGGGCTGGCATTTGAACTCAGGCGATCTGACCCCAGAGCTCACACGCTCGATGGGAAAAGCACCTCCTGCCTTCCCCATCTCAGTTATTGGTATTGCCCTTCCTCAGTGCTCCAGCTAGAATTTGAGTCATTCTCTCTCTCCTCACACTTTATATCCTAAATATCTCTGTAGTCTATACTTCTGCCCTTTCCCACTTCTGTTTGTTAGAAGTTTCATTAGAAGAAAGCCAGGGGAGAGAAAGGAAACAATTTGAGTTAGTTAGTCTGCAGAGCTAATAAAATTGCAAGAGGGATGTGAAACAAAACCATAGGTTTTTGAGCTTGAGACTTACTTATTTATCTGTATTAAATTAACAAGGATAATGAAATTAACAAGAATTATGTATTTTAAACTTACTGTAAGTGACCATTTCAAGCTATTTCACAGTTTTTAGAGGATAATGCTTCTTTTTAGAGCTGACTACATTGTAATTAGTGTGTTTCTCTTTTGTATCAGATATAGCTTCATGTACATTCACGGTAGAGTTCAGTTCAACAAATAATTGTGGAGCCCTGCTGTATGTACAAGAAACTCTGTAAGAACAGATGAAATTGATCCCCAAACACATCTCCATTACTTCTCTTGTCTTTGGATGTACTTGTTTAATATAACCTTATATATTAGGTTCAGATTACAAATAGTTTAGACTTGTTACAAAATGTCAATTATTTATGACAAAGCTTTCCCTAAAATAGAGCCTGAATGGTTTTTTTTAACATGTTGATTGTTCTTTCCCACAGGCACCAATCCTTATTTGACTTTTCACTGTGTTAATCAGGGAACTATTTTGCTGGATCTTGCTCCAGAAGATAAGGAATATCAGTCAGTAGAAGAAGAGGTAATGTACATCAGAATTTTTAATCTTTTCCTGAAATCTGTGCTTCAACCTATTTTTCCAAGAGAGATAAGCTTGTCTCACACTGACTCATGGTCACTTGCCTATCTGTTATTCTGTCCCTTAGCCATGCGGTGGAATATTCCCAAAATTAAAATAGGTCTGTGGGTTAGAACTATGCCACGTTACTCTTACATCATAAAGCTCAGGTTTCCAATGGGTAGGCCAGATCTGTCTTTCTATTCTGGAGACTTTCTTGAAAGTCATGTAACCCTATTACAACTATTTTCTTACATCGTTAAAATGCTACCTAAGAATGATATGAAGTGAGAATCTCGCCTCTTAGATAGCAAATATCTTCTCATCTTTATTTTTATTCAAAGTTATAAAATGTGATTATAAAATAATATGCCTAATTTTCAGGTATGCCTATGAAATCTGCCTCATTAGTGGAGTCACCTTTCATTTGTCCAGTCACATTATTTGAAAGCACCAGAGTAAGGGTACTTGTATGAACCTCCTGGTGGACGGATGCCTTAGAGATTCCCTCTCTACTGATGGTGTATGCCTCACATCTTATGCATAAGAAACAAAGTGCATAATGGCATCAGCATAATAAATAAGCTGGCTAACCTAATTCCATTATTTTGCAGAGAAGGGCATCCCTACATTTTTGTTGTTTGTTTTCTGCTTTTGACTTAGTGCTCATATTCTTCCCATTCCAGGAACCAAGCCCTGTTACCTAAGAGTAGTATTTCAGCTCGTACTTAGCCAGTCTATCAAGAAAGCATCTTGTCTTCTAGTGTCATATTGCCTAGTCATTCTCCTGATAGTAAATTTTGATAATAATGTCAAAAATGTGGTGAATAACTTCACAAATGGAGCGGTGAGATAATTAACTCTTTGAGTCACTTTTGTGAGAAACTTAGGTCTTTAAAACATTTTACTTTTCCATAATAATTCTTTTTAATTTGAAGAGTGGAAGAAGGATGAGTAGTGTTCTGAAGAAAGTTATTCTACTTATCTACATGTTTTATTTAACTTCCCCTGATCTGTGCAGTTATACTTTGAGATCCCAAATTAAAGAGATGATAGGAATATTTCACCTAGGGAACAAAAGTTTTTGGTTTTTAAAAATTCTTTATGCTTATTTTTAACAGTTGTTCAATGGGGTATTCATTGAATGTGGAGAGTTTGACTTAATCAGAGTGTTGCTTCTCATTCTCAGTACCATAAAACAGTAATGTGGATGACTTTAGTGCAATATTTTATTTATATGTTTCCCTACTGTATTTGCAGAAAAATCTTTCAAAGCTTCTAGTAGAAAATAAAAAGAAAATGCAGAAGTTTAATGTTTATGTCTGTGACTATTTTCTCACTAGAAATACTTATTCATTAAACGTGTTGATCAATTTATAGTGAACTCCTATTTATTTATAAGTGCTGAGTCTTAGACTCATTAGTGAAACAATGTGATAGAATTGAAATGTTGAGAATAACAGAAGGAATGTCTTTAGAATTATACACTGGCATATATTCCCAAAGTTAATTATTTTATTTTATTCCATAGATGCAAAGTACAATTCGAGAACACAGAGACGGTGGTAATGCTGGCGGCATCTTCAACAGATATAATGTCATTCGAGTAAGTTTTTAAAATTTTAGGGTGAAAATTGGATTACAGGGCTTGCCTGAAAACCAAATACAGACGATGAAAACTTTTTGTTAAAAGTCGTATTTTCAAACTGTTGAAGATAATCAGTCACCTGTTGCCCTGCAGTCAGTGTCATCCTCCTCCCTCCAATATAATCTAACCCCTCAAGACCATTCTTCCCTAGAAATAGAGACACCCAGGAGACACCAGCGTGACAAAAAGAAGGCTGGATCAGCTGGTACTGGTGATTCAAATATGTTAATGTGACTCCCAGCTCATCCACAAATGTAGATGATAGCTGACAGTAATTTTTGTTATCACCATTTTAAAGTAGCATTACAGGTCTGGATTTCCAATCTAATTGAGGCAGTAATTATATCAGAATGTATACATCTCTTAATCTTAGTATCTTAATTTATAATATGGGATAGTTGACTGCTATATGCTTTTTTCCAAGGGGTATCATGAAGATGAATAAAATCTGTTGAGAACTGGTTTAACCCTTTGGGTTAATAGACCTGTGAAAGTCACACCAGTGTGCATCAGAACTACCTGGGAGGGGCCGGCCCTGTGGCCAAGTCGTTAAGTTCTCGCGCTCCGCTGCAGCGGAACAGGCTTTCGCTGGTTCGGATCCTGGGCGCGGACGTGACACCACTTGTGAGACCACGTTGAGGTGGCATCCCACCTGCCACAACTGGAAGGACCTGCAACTAAGATATACAACTATGTACTGGGGGGATTTGGGGAGATATAGCAGGAAAAAAAAAATTACCTGAGAAGTTGAAAAAGATAGATTTATGGACCCTTATATCCTAAAATTCAATGAGTCTGGGGAGGAGTCAAGGAATAGCCTTTTTTCTTTAACTCCTCAGGTGATTTTGAGGTATAGCCAGGGTCTAGTGCAGAATAACAAAGAAAAACCATAACTGAAAATTAGGTCACTGAAAGCCAGAGTATTAACTGAATTACACTGACCTGGCAACTTTATCATTTTTACATAATGTTTTAAGCAAACAAAACAAAAAACAAAAGTTGAAACTTCCTAAAGGAAAACACACTTTTCATTTTAAATCAAACTGCCAATTAATATATATTTCAGTAATTTGCTTCTTTCTTCCTCATCTTAAAGATTCAAAAAGTTGTCAACAAGAAGTTAAGGGAGCGATTCTGTCACAGACAAAAGGAAGTATCTGAGGAGAATCATAACCATCACAATGAGCGCATGCTATTTCATGGTGAGTGTCATGACAGTAATTATAGACATCTCTGAGCTTTTGCAAATTCCAATAAAGTGGAAAGCTGTATTAGTGTTGTGTTAAAAATGATTTGTTTTAATTTTTTTTTTAATTACATCCTGGTACCAACTTTCTAGTGCATTACATGTTAGTACTGGCTTTCCAAGGCATGTACAATGAAAATGATTCATCCAGAATAGTTTCGGAATGTAAATTGCAAGTTGAACCATCTAGATAGTGCACTATTTCTATTGTAATTTAGTATAATTGTTTTAGTTTATCAGATTATCTATTTTGCTTAAAGTAGGATTGAGTGAAATAATCTGTATTTTCAAAGCCACATTGTACTTTGCTATCTAAAATCTCATGCTATCTGCAGAATCTCTTTAACATCCTTGCTTGGTAAACCCAGTGGGTTCCTGAAAAGATTCTATTACATGATAATAATCTATATGTAATAGACCATCTTACAAAGAAACTTTTCATGTATGCGTTATTAATAAGTTAATCTGTCAAGTGCAAATAGTGTGTAGGTAATTGAGATTCTAGGAAGGGGTTCAAAAGCAAATCTTTCTATCTTTCTGTTTTTAGGTTCTCCTTTCATTAATGCCATTATTCATAAAGGGTTTGATGAGCGACATGCTTACATAGGAGGAATGTTTGGTGCTGGGATTTATTTTGCTGAAAACTCCTCTAAAAGCAACCAGTATGTTTATGGAATTGGAGGAGGAACAGGCTGCCCCACGCACAAAGATCGGTCGTGTTATATATGTCACAGGTGAGCATCTTGCCTTTCATGTAATGGTTGCTGTCCTCAGGTCATGACCCAAATTAGTTTCTCAGGCTCTACAGAAGCCACAGGTTATCCTCAGTCCTACTCTTAAAGAATCAGACAGGTTTGGAAGTTGGGTAGGAATAGCTTATCAGCCTCTGCCCTAATAGGAGCAGTGACAGCAGAGCTGATACCAGTGGTTGTAAAAACCTGACATATGTCAACTAGTCCTAGGTTACAATGAAATTCCCTCCATCTTGGCTTTCTCCCTGGGTTCCACTTTCCTTGCTTCAGAATCAGAACAAGAAAAGATTGAGAATTATTTCTGTAGAGCAAAGAACTTCTAGCTGTAGTCACTTTTGACCTAAAACACACAACTTCTATAAACAAGTAGAATCTTCAGTGTGTTTCTGATGTTGTTAGTGATGTTTTAAGTCAGGGTATATAATTAGCTTTGAAAAGTCCAACTTCAAAATATTAACTTTGGAGTTAGTAGTAAACAAGTGAATATTAGCTTTTTAAATAGGATTTTAAAACTCAGAAACTGAAAAGAATAATAGTATACTCTCTCTGAAGTCAGTGAAAAAAATTCCCTTCCATGTTCCCTTCCCTGCCCAATAGAAAAAATAAAAAGAGTTGTACTTTACAAAGATTGCAGTTTATTACATTTCTCTTTAAATTAGCCAGATGCATTATTTTTGCAAAGTCAAGTTAATGACATCTTGTAATTCAGTTAAAACCTCAAAAAGACCCATATAACCTTGAAATTCATTATAGTTGTTGACCTTAAAACTTATCTCTCTTAGTTACATTATGAAAAATATTAGAGCAGTCACTGTTTCTAAGATGAATGCCGTATGTCCAGAAGAAAATTTCTTTCCCTTATGGCTGCTGTGGCTAGTAACACATAAAAATTACCAAGAACATGTAACATGCAAAAGTTTCTCTTTGTTGCTTCAAACCTAACTCCTCTGGAGACAAAATGAACCTAAATAAGCAATAAAAGTGAACCTAGATGAGGATAACAGTCACTCATTAAAGTTAGACACACAGGTGTGTCTTAGCCAGGATTTCCTAGAAAATGGAACTTGAAGCAAAAGCCTATGTACTAGCACTTTCTTGGCAAGTGCAATCCCAGAGAAACAGGAACGAGGGCGCAAAAAGAAGTAAGGTGGAGAAGGAGGCTGAGCAAAGGCAGTGAGGTGCCTGTGAGCTGGCCAGTTTCATAACGGGTGCAGTTGCTTGCTCAGTCCATGAGACATCTTCAGAGAGGCTGCATGAACTGCTATATCTCAGAACAGTACATCATGGGAGAAGAGAGCTGAATTATCTGCTGGTCGGCAGCTGCCCCACAGGGCATTGGTACCCCGCCTTTTGGGCTGCTGCATTGCAGAATGCACCACAGTGCACAAGGTGAGCCAGTGAGCAGGCATGAGTTGGTACTCTCCACCTGCCCATTAGCAGCCTGCAGCCTCATGGGCCAGCCTGGCAGGTTCTGCATCTTCTGCCTCTTTAGCAACAGGGAATCCCTGGGGCAGGAAGCAGAAGGCAGGAGGAAAGGCCTGTCGGGTCAAGCTTTGTGTGACATGTGGACTGGGAGTAGCCATGGCAGTGGGCCCAGCTGGTTGAGTAGGCAGAGTGCATTGATACCATAGTGTTGCCACAATGTGAGGATGGAGTTCAAAGAGCCTCTGTCTAATGTAGATCGAAACCCTTGTCTCTGGGACCTACAAGAGAATACAGTTGACACCAAGCTAGCATCCCAGTGGGTCATCAATAGCATCACACTAAAAAAGCCAGCTCAGGCAGTACCTAGTTGTACTGGGTATGGCACCATTTTTAATTGACTCAAAGTAGTGTCTCTGATTAGTCACAATGCAAAGATCATACTCCATTACTGAAAACAAGCTATTTACATTTAACAGTATGACCAATCTTACTGATTAGTTAAAATGTTTATTGTTTATGTTAAGGGCTTGGCAAACTTTTTCTTTAAAGGGCCACATAATAAATGTTTAGGGCTTCACAGGCCCCATGATTGCTGTTACAATGACTCAGCTCTGCTGTTACAGTGCAAAAGCAGCCACGGCCAGTATGTAAATCAATGTGTGGCTCTGTTCCAATAAAGTTTTATTTACGATAACAGATAGCAGAGTAGATTTGGCCCCTGGGCCATAGTTTGCCAGCCTCTAGTTTATTAACACGCTTTCTTCCCAATCAACCTTTCTTCTCTAGAATATTTAACATCTGCCCCAATTCATATTTCAACCAGATAGTATGATTTCCAGCCATACATTTAAGATAAGTATTTTTGTGTATGACCCAATTTTACTGTTATTTATCTCATCCTAGTTTTTACTTCTCCATAATGAGTAAACCCAATCTTAATTTCAGATGCTGCTGCCGTCTGCTTAATTTTCTTCACTTTCCTCCTATCCATCCATACAAGAACTCAGTTTCCGCTGGTATTTCTTTCTTTCCACTAGTCAAACCTTGCTAGGTGTTTTCTGTGACTGATTCCTAAACCACACCAAAGCTACTTTGTGTAACTATTGAGCCTAACTGTTTATGGTAAATCAATATATCAAATCCCATTCCATTCCTACTCATAAATTTGAAAGTGACATTTAAATTAGCTTGCTTTATGTTAAAACTTTTTAAAAAAATCAATAAACCTAATGGTTATATCATTCTAAGATTTAAAGCTTCTGTCAAAGTATTGCTTTCCTTTTTTCTTCAGACAAATGCTTTTCTGTAGAGTGACCCTTGGAAAATCCTTTCTACAATTCAGCACCATGAAAATGGCTCATGCCCCTCCAGGACATCACTCAGTTATCGGGAGACCAAGTGTGAATGGGCTGGCATATGCTGAGTATGTCATCTACAGAGGAGAACAGGTATCTTACTCATCAAATAAGCATAAGAAAGTTACTAAACATGTCAGTACAGAATATGGAGACCACGCAAAAGTTAAAGAAAATCATTTAATGAAATATCTACCATATAGCATTAGTTGCTTCAGGTCAAAATGAAGATATCAAAATTCTTTGACATCAACTTTGCATACAAAACCCATTAGTCACCTGTTAGCCAAGTAACACAGTGTAATCAGGAGGGCTGCTGGGAAGTAAAGGCATGAGATCTCAGTCTGTTCTGAATTAAAGCTTTGTATCCTTCTTACCCCAAGATGGCAATGGAGAGCTAAGAGCAGCTGCCATTTAGTGGGTCTTCTTCGTGGATATAGTTGCCACAGGCTTGGTCACATGAGTTGAGTCTCTATACTTCTGAACATGGTACTTTACAGAGAATGAAAGATTTCTGAGTCATAAAGCTACAGCACTTTAAATTCTGCCAACTGCTTGAGGCTCCAAAATGAAATTGTCAGCAAGCAGGAAAGCTTTCTATCATTTTCAACCCAGTCCTTAACTCTTACAGTAATGCTAAATGCATACTGATTTGTCTAAAAACAAAAATCAATTTGAGCTTAATTGAATTTCAAATGGATACTTAACTATCCTGATGGAGAAGAGAAGAAAAGGAGAAAGAAGAAATTAACTAAATACAAGTAAACTATGAAAACAACATTTCATCATATGCCATCAGTCTTGGATCGGGTCGGGCGTGGGTTTGGGGGAAGAATTGCAGACAAATCCTACACTCCACATAGTAGACGTGCTGATTGTGGTGGTGTGGACAAAGCAGTGACACTCTGTTAGGTGTGTTATAAGGTGGAGGAAATGAGTCAATGTGTTGACATGTTGATTTGGGTAGCTGTGGCTCTCACTGTGGAAGAAGGGACATACAAATATGGAATGGGAGAAGGTAGGAATGACTCTGTAGGGATGGACTGAAATTGGAAGTATTGATGTGAACTCAGGGTTTCTAACATATATATGTGTGTGTGTGTGTGTGTGTGTGTACACATGTAAATATATGTAAGCATAAGTATATGTGTAAGAGTGTATGTAAACTTATGTATGTATATGAGTGATTATGTGCATATATTTTTTAGCACTGTCTGCTGGAAGTAAAGAAACCCCAGTAGCAATGAGTATACCTAGAACCCAGATTTTGGCCTCTAATACCATTCTCCACTGTAACAATCCTGGGCTCTTTGAGGAAACAGTTAATTCCACAGCTGGAGCAGATTAGGAGCAAGATAAGCCTGGAATATCTTGTTGTATCAGAAAGTAATGAAGTGCTCAAAAAAAATGATGGGGGCGTGTCACAAGGACACAGAGCTAGCTTGAAGGGTAGCCCACTGGCCAAATCTGGAACAAAGTCCACACCAAAATAAGCACAGTTATAAATATTAAACTATTGGAAAAACTAGAAATTCGTGATTCTATACTGACAAGAGATAAATAAATAAATGAAGGGGGAAAGAAAGCTTTTACTTACTGTAGAAAGCCAGGATCGGATGGGTAGATGCAGAGGGAGTACTGGATTTGGAAAATCATCATCTTGCAACCACTGTGGTAAAGATTAGGTTGGGCAAGAATCAGGAATGGATGCTAAATTTAGGGGATGATTTTGAAAAGGAAAAGGATATTTGCATGGTAGCCTTATTAGTTACAAAGAAGAAAAAAAGTCACAGTAATTATACATTGGAGAAAGGGGACATACCTTGACCAGATGATCAAAATTGACATTATCAATGAGGGGCAAATAGACATAGAGTGTGCCTCCAGATGTGATATTCTGAGAAGCGTGTAACGTCATCTATGCAGTATTGCAGCCAGGAATGTTTAACCTCAGTCTAATCAAAATGAGAAATGTGCTGTTAATAAAAAATGTGGGAAGATTCGATTCTTCAAAACTGGCAATGTTATAAAAGACAGAGAAAGACTTTGAAAACTTTCCAGATTAAACGAAACCCAAGAGACAAAACAACTAACTTAAGGTTCTGCCCCCAAATTGGATCTGATACTGGAAGAGAAAGGACATTATTAGATCAGCTGACAAAATTGGAATATGAAGGGTAGGTAGATAAAAGTATAATATCAATATAAAATTATAAAGCTGAGTCTGTTCTTATGTAAGAATATCCCTATTCTTAGGAAATAAATACTGGCATATTTAGGGATAAAGAAGCATGATGATGTCTATAGCTTACTCTCAAATTATTCGGAGAAAAAATGTGGCTGTGTTTCTTTCTGTCTGCCTAGTGTATGTAGAGGTAGGGGAAAAGTGCACATGGTAAAGCAAATGGAGTAAATGAAACCTTAACAGTAGGTGGATGTAAAGGGTATAGGTGAGTAAAGGGTGTACAGGTGTTTGGGTTCCGTTTTAATTTTTGCAGCTTAGTGATGGTCAGATCACATACAAACACGCAAAACTATAAGTATGTTCATCACTGTCTTGATTATTATGATGAGAAATTTAAACAACCTAAATATTCAACAAAAAGGGAATGTTCAAATAAATATTAGTATATTTGTATGCCTGTGATTAAATTTAACATGACATATGTTAAACTAAACATGAGAGCAGTTATCTCTGGATATTGAGATTATAGATGATTTCAGTTTTCTTTATCATACACTTTTCAAGATTTTGTAAGTTACCTATGGTAATATAATTTCTTTCATATTTGGGTGGAAAAATAATAAAGGATATTTCAAAAATAATAATAGGTAGGCATTTCTAAAATTTACTGATCATTCAACAATTTCCCAAGCACTTTGGCTTGATAACTTGTATGAAGTCTCTTTCTAAAAGAATTAAGAGAATGACATGGTCCAAACCTTATTTGAAAGAAAAAATTACCTTGAAAAATGAAATACGTGTAGTATTTGTTTTATATCAAGGGAGCACACTTGTTCTTCCATATCTCAGTGTTCTTGTCCGCATGGATAGTGTTAACTGTAATGTCTACTAATTGAGTCATTTCCTGTGGGCAGTTTCCCCAGTTATGGTGAAGTTTTCCTTTACTGACTTTTATTTCATTCCCCTTAGTTGTAGCTTAAATCATCCTTCACCCTTAGTATTTCAAACTTTCAAGAACAGACAAATGTCTTATTCAGAGGGTTGATTTGAGGGGTATTATTCATTATTGATGGGATTGTTTCTTTCTTTAGAATTAAAAAGATATGTTGAAAATTAACTGAACTTTGCTTGCAAAGGAAAATGCCTCTGATTTGAATATATGACTGAACTTAAAATATCAGGAATCTGTGTGTGTGTTGTATTTTAAGCTTCACATTAAATTCGGCTTAAAGAAGAGGTGTTCTCTGGTCACTGGTCGCTATAGATGTTTAGCCTATTTTACTGAAATGATATGAACAATGCAGAATTATTTAACCTAGAGAATGGAAGACTATAGAATGATTTATAGAATGATTTTCCAGTATACCAGGTTATTCAAGAGAGCATGCTATCCCTTCTTCCTCTCTGTGAAGAATAAACTGAAAGCTTTTGAGTTTAAATTTTAGCATTAGTCATTTGGGTTAAGAAGAGTCTCCTGAAAGTCAGTTACCAAAAATGGTTGTTGAATCTTTTCTTATAGGAACTTTCTTTTTAAAAGATTTTATTTTTTCCTTTTTCTCCCAAATCCCCCTAGTACGTGGTTGTGTATTGTAGTTGTCGATCCTTCTATTGTGGCATGTGGGACGCTGCCTCAGCATGGCTTGTTGAGCGGTGCCATGTCTGCGCCCAGGATTCGAACTGGTGAAACCCTAGGCCACCAAAGCAATGTGCGAACTTAACCACTAGGCCACGGGGCCAGCCCCTATAGGAACTTTAAAAAAAAAATATGGTCTGTGCTTTTATAGCTAGTATGGATTTAAAGTGACTTGACAGGAAATAATTGTTGGTCTGTCCTGGGCCCTTCTGGTCCTGCAGTTTAATAATTCCCTCACCTTAAATCCCTCTGGACTTTGAGGTGATTAGTCAGTGCGTCAAACTGTACACAGCAACAATGCAGTAGCCTAACCAGTAGGCACCAGAAGCACTCCAATAAGGACCTTTCCTTAATGCACACCGTGAGCATCTTAGACTCTGCCTGACTGAAATTTACGTGTCAGGATCTCCTTCAGTAGTGTGCTACCAAAATGCAAATACTGCTGTTACTGACCCTTCTCCTTAAGCAACTTTTCTGCAAAGAAAAAGGATGTGCCGTACACAGTATCATAGATATTAAATTTCACTGGGACAAAAGGAAGTAGGAATATGCCTCACGCTCATTTTGACACTTAGCATCTGCCAGCTTGGGTTATTTTTGAATTCCTTTTTTTCTGTGTCTGGTTTATCCTCTCAAACAGCAGGGTCCATATCTCACATCAGAGTGCTTTGTACACAGTAGATGCTCAATATGTGTATATTGGTGTTGAGTAAATAATTTGCTTGACCATCAAACCGTCTGGTTGACTAATCAGTTTTTCCATTTTTCCACCAGTGTTTGAGCTTCTCTAGATTCTTTATGCCCAGCTCTAGAATTCGCAGTAGATAGCTGCCCTAGTTTGTTTCAGTAACCAAAAGCTAAAATGCCATTTAAAACCATTTCAAGAATTAAGTAGTGTTTAAATTATAATAAAATAAAACCACAAACTATTCAGTTATTGAAATTTCAGATTGGAAAGTCAGGAGAGGTGAGGATTGTTAATCTTGCTTATTCCAACTAAATGTACTAAAGATGGAACCATTGCTGTTTCTAAGCCAAACCATAGCAGACTGGAATTTTGGAAAAGAATATTATGAGTGATAATGGTTCCTTATGTGTGTAGAGACAGTTATCCATGTAAGGAACTGTAACTTTTGAAAACACATTTAAACTTTTGTTCTTTTTGTCCTTGCTGAGACCTTCTTCAGGAGGGACTAGTCTCTGACAAATGATAATAGTAATGACAGTAACATATTATTAGTAATAACTAACATACTAGATTCTTACTCTGCCTGACCTGTCCTAAAATCTTTGTATTTAATCCTCACAAAAGTCTTAGTATTATTACTGTGCCCGTTTACAGATGAGAAAAGTGGAGGTACAGACATGTAACAGTTTCTGCCTCCTAAGATCAGAGGTGTAAAATTATAAAGAAATAATTTAGGACATCTATTACATGTTTATTTATGCATTTTACATATTGAACAGTCCAGTTTTTTTTATCCTTAATTCTTTTTATTATCTTACTCCATATCTATATGCAAGTAATTTGTAGGTCTGCATTCAACACGTTATTTTGGGGCCCAAAACACTTAGCTCACCAAGGAATCTGTTTTTCAGCCACACACCACTCTGAAATACTGAGTGTAGTCTTACCATTACGTTATATTTAGGGTTGCAGAATTCCTGTGTAGTATACATGGTTTCAAGGGGGTTTGCCACCCCCCGACCTGCCTTGGGTTGTCTTCGCAGTGATTTCTGGTTAAGGTTTAGAACAAGTTCCTCTGGGCAGGCTTCCCTTCCTACTACAATCAGCAAGTGCTCTTTCCAGTCTGGACGCTGAGCCTTTGCTTTTACACACTACAGGAAAGAAGAGGCGAAAGAGAGAAGAGAGGGGGTGGAAGGTCTAAAGCTGAGCCATTATCTGTCCTGTGAAAGTTGCCTTTAATTAGTCAACTTAAAAATTATCTCTCAACTGCTGCCTCTAAGTTATTGGTGACTCAACACACCTCACCCTTCCTCCTTCTAGCTCAGTCACATGATCATCTTTGATTAATTTGAAATCAGTTCAACAGAAATATTCTTTGATGTAACTAACTCTTATTGAATACATGCCGTGTGCCAGCCCTCTGCTAGGTGAGGTGAAAGAGATAGATTTTCTCTTGCCTTAGTTTTCCTGTTTATGGTATGTGGCTCTCTAATGAGGGATGAGTACAGTGTAACTAATTTACAGTATTCGAAGTAGAAGTAATACAGTTCTCTAGATTAAAGGATTTATACATGTTTATATACAGATATGTAGATGGACCTCCTAGTTGTTCAAGCGCTTAGTAATTGGCTGGCCTTCACGGGCTCTTGGGTGTTTGTAGAATATTGGTTAGGATCAAGAGCCTCTGAGGCTTCCCCATTAAGTAAGCTTTAATATTGTCCCTGCCCAAAGGGTGATGCGTTTTCCTCCTGTCCTCTCCAGGCGTACCCAGAGTATCTCATCACATACCAGATCATGAAGCCGGAAGCTCCTTCCCAGACCGCAACAGCCGCAGAGCAGAAGACCTAGTGAATGCCCACTGGTGAAGGCCAGGTCGGATTAGAAGCTGGGACTGGATTACAGTGGATTGTTTCCAACAAAATCAATATTCTCGAAATCCCTGACAGCCTAGAAATAAGCTGTTTGTCTTTTATAAAGCATTGCTATAGTGATGAAAATAGTATGAGTAACTGATACATACTCAACTGCTACTGTTCCTTTTGAGGAAATGTTTACAGGGGCGGCCTTTGAACATATCTCAGGCTCATTTTCATTGCAGTTATCCATTTCTGAAACAAGATTGCTTTGATCTAGACTTGGAAATGGAAAAAAAGAAGACATAACCAGTGCTTTCCCAGATGTTCACAATTCACACACTACATTTGCTTTGTTATATATGGCGCTTGTATATAACAAATATACACATACTACAGGCTCGTTTTTAGTTTTGTCTAAACATGCATCATTGGCTTTTTTTCCCTTTTTTTGGCTTACTTTGAAAATGAGCCAGAGCCTTCTTGAGGACATTTTGCACAAAGTCACACTGACTAAAATCATTAGCAATGCAACCCAAGCTTCTGGCTGAGCAAGACTTAGTTTCCACTTTTTTTTCACTTCATTTTGTAGCCGCACTTATCAACGTAAAGTGAGATGGAAAGGAAAAACATCAACTTTTGGTTTCTTTTTGTGAATTGGCCAGTCTTACAAGGGAAAGGCACAAACGTGAACCTGACTTAGGAGCTCCCAAGTTCAGAAAAGTCAAAGCCGACGGGGGCCACTTGCTCTTTCCCATACAAGCCCGCTTCAGAGGCGTCAGGTCAGTGCTGGAGGCCCAGGAAGAGCACAGCAGGAAAGGTGTGAGGGATGCCGCGTGACGTTCGGAGGTGAAACACCTGGGGGGCTGCGGAGGAGCAGCCTCCAGAGGACGTGAGGAGCGTGTGGTTCTATAAAACCGCAGCAGGGAAGGATTGCGGGAGCTCCTCAGAGAAAAAACGCTTCTCTTCACTTAATCCGTACCACCAGAATTGTCGCCCCCAAAATTTGCCTTATTTCCAAGTTCAGTGGAATCATTGTACTTCATTAAAGTTACAAAAATATTGCTTTATTGTTTCTCTAGTTTGGAAAGCTAGGATTCAAGTCCTATTTAGGAGATAGGTATACACAAAGGCAGGAACTTTTTTGTTTATTCAGTTGGGGTTTATTTTGAGCGAGGTGCTTCAAATAGTTTATGTAGGCCCCTGCACTAAACTTGTGAACCATTTCTTCAAACTGCTTAAGAGACAAGGAGAACAAAAAGTGAAACCAAAGCTCCTTCAGTTATTTTTTAAATGAAGGTGAAGTACCATGCTGTTTCTTCGTGAAACAGTGTTTTTTCTTTTGTTTGTTTTGATCACCATTTGCCAAGTGCACATTGACCCTGTAAAGAAGTATCCCTTGCAGTCCTTACACTTGCCCTTTTCACCTTAACTGATGTTGAATTGAGTGCATTAATTTGTTTACTTCCACATGCTGTGCATCTACTCAGCTTTGAAGCAAAAGTAATATAAATGTGGTGAAAAAAAGAAAAAACAGTGTGACACAAACTTGCCATTTCAACTTAAAGTCCTGAAAACTAATTTGTTCCGTTTTTTAATGCAGGTTGATTAAGCTGTGACCTCATTTAATCTCCTAAAGAAAAATAAAATGGTTACATGCAAAAATTCTAGACTAGGCTCTTAACATATTCAGTTTGCTTTCTTTGGGGCTTCAGTCAATGCTAGACCTAGGCATCGGGAGCTGGTTTGAGTTTTATAGCGGAATCTTGCATGGGTCCTCAAAATTAAATCAAGAATTAGCCTCAGTTTTTGCTTCTATTGAAGTTTTAGTGACCCAAGCTGGGTGTTTGTGTCTTGGCTACTTGTTTAATAGCACTAGAATTCCATGCGAAGCTGCGAAGTGTGATGTTCATTAAGAGGGCTTTTTTCCTCCTTTCCTTCTTTTTTGCTGTGTGTAACAATGGGTTGAAGGATTTGGCATCTCTGTAGTTACCAGTAGCTGTGAAAGTGTATGTTACTTGCCTCCCCACTTAGATATAGTTTAAAATGGTAAACACAGCTGTGATTTTTACTTATGTAAAAGGTTAATACGGTATACATATGGAAAGCTTTAAAGCTTCATTAAAAAGATAAGCCACTCCCCGACTGTGGTTATATGTTGTTTCCATCATCCTGACTAGATTAATGGACATGCCAGTTTTAAACTTCAGCCTTACACTTGAGAAGTTAAACTGTGGTTCAGTATTTAAACTGCCAATGTTATGTATCTAATCTGTTATGTTCTGTGTGCCGAGTAAAGGTACTGTGTAAGGAAGACATTTGCAGTGCTTCGTGTCTTGTAATGAATCAAGTATATAGTAGTTCTCGAAAGAATGTGTATATATTATTCATCTACTAAAGAGAATGGGTTAATCAATATCTCACAGGAGCCAAATACATTTCTCGAAACTTGAAAACCAAAGGTCGTCATGAGTGCACTCAAGTTAGCAAAAGTTGATTACATTTGGAATTTTCCATCTATAGCAGTGTGAAAAATCCTTTGGATTATAAAAGTATGGCATTAAATTAGGCTGAAATCTACTTAATTTCTTGTATATGCTCTATATAGAAACACTACCAAGTTGAGGACTTACAATATGGCCTCCCCTGAAATGACCCTTCTGTTTCCCAAACCACGTAGAAGAGAGAATCTGGACACCTCCACCAGCTTTACTGCAGTTCTAGAATCAAAGGACTTCTGGACCTGATGGTTCCAGTTTATTGGGTATTGGCCAGCTGGATACTTGACTCAGGTATAAGTTAAGTGCTCTGGACTGGACACTTGCTCCTTGTACTTGGCCTCCTTCCCTTTTCCCCAGATTGCTAGTCAGGAACTGTAATTAGCTCCAAGAGTTACCTTTGACCCAACTCATTTTCCTCCTTTCTTCATCTTGAGTCTTGCAAAAGGAGACTGTACCTCTCTTTCCATCTCAGAACCTGAACCAGGTGTTAGGCTCATGTACTCTGCTCAGAAGGGTCTGCCACTTTGTTAACAAATGACAGCATGGAACCCAGAGTTTTAATTCTATGCAAAATAATAGCCGTACAATGAGAAATCTTATTTACCTTTTCCTTGTTGGAAATTGGAATTTCCAGCTTTTCAGTAACATAAGTAGAATAAACTATATTAGTATGTTTTCATAAAGTATCATCCTTATGCTCATTTAAGCTTGATGTTAGTGACTAGACTAATTCCCCTTTGCTCTCAAAATAGCAAAGTGCATTGATATATACAGAGAAATGCCTTAAAATGGCAAATAAAGTAATATAGATTAATATTGTATTATTATAGCCTTTATACAAAAAATAAAATTTTGGTATGTACTGGAAGAACAGCGTTAGAATGCAGTAAGCTGTCTAGGTTTTTCTCTATTTCAGTACATCTCCCAGTTGCACAAAGGGTTATTTTGGACATTGCTCACCCTCCCTTTTTAAACATATGCACTCTCTGGAGTCCTGTAAACAGCCTTTCAAACAGAAATGGTGTATATTTCTAAACACCTTTTCTGCTAGTGTGTCCAGATCCCATTTGTGTGATAATCTGTCATAAACAGGCTTCTGACTGTGTTTCCTATTGGGTAAGTAACTTGCATGGAGCTCTAGATTTTAGTGATTCAGAGGCCACTCAAAACTGACATTAAGATAGGGTTTCATGTTCAGAAATTTATTGAAAGACTAAAACTTGTTTGATGTCAAATCATTGACAGAGAAATGAAAAGAAAGTAACTGTGAAGATAATATTTGAGCTTTGGTTGGACACATCTAGCATTTGAAAAGGAAATGCATCTTTTTAAAAACCACTCTAAAAAGTGAGGCTTCTTCAGATACCTTGTGCATTCTGAAATTAATAAACAATTAAATACTTCGTAAGAAACCCTTAGCTATGGCAGAAACTTTTTAACCTTTTATATCCTAATAAATAAAACATTGTAATTCCATTTCTTAGTGTTTGAAAGGTATCAATGAGTCAGGTCTGTCTCCATGTGTCTCACACCTGTTACGCTTATTTGATGAGGTGTATTTCATAAGTCTTACTCCCTTACGTGGAAAGGAGCTGATGGAATCAATCCTCTCCAGTTTCTCTATGTCTGAAACTTCTCAGCTGCCGGATCTACTGGTTTGGAGGAATGCTAGAAAGATCTCAGAACCTATTAAGTTTTGTGTATGTGGGGCTACAGCAACGACTCTCGAAGCGATACTATGTAGAATTTGCGGATTGCACAAGCTGTTTTTAATCACTTTGAAATATAAACCATGGTGATAAGTGAAAAGCAGTAGGAAGCTAAAGATTTTATAAGCTCTCTCAGCCCAGATCTGCTCGTGGTGTGACTGGTTTTATACGTCTACCAGAGGGTGCTGCCTCCTTTGAAATAACATTCACGCTGTAGAGATGGTTGCATTTTGACTCTTCGTTCTCTCACATTTTCTTTTCTGATTTACACTTTCACATCCCTACTCTCACCATACCACCCATCTTTTCAAACAGATTTCTTGTGCTTCAGAATTCAGATTTCCTTTTTTATGTGTCTCCCCAGTTCTGCAGGCAGCCCTGAGAGCCCTTTGTTGACTCAGAGTGTTTGCAGAGAAGTGCAGTTAAACTCTTGTAGTGGGGTGTCCCTCACGCACTCCAATGCCCCTCCCAAGGCTCTGAATGAAAAGCTAGAAAACAGACAGTAAAAATCAGGAAGGAACCAAAATCTTGGAGGCTCATAGCCTAGACCTAGAAGATGACCTCGACTGTATAACCATTGTATTCATTACACAAAATATTTAAACCCTTCATGTGCGTATAATACCTGCTTCTGCTTCCATTGTTTCAATCTCATCTGTCTTTGTGGTAGCCATATTTGTCTTTGATCCCTACAAACTAAAAAGGTACTTTTATCAACAAGGTTTCTCAAAAACATTTACAAAACCAGCTTTGAGGAAATCTAGAATGTTGCCTGGCAACAGCATTTAGAGTAGTAATTGTATTTTCTCATTGTGATGTTGGTCTGTGTAAGTAACCAATGTAGTGACTGCTTGGTTCCTTATTGGTGTTGTTTTTATTTCTAGTCTCTGTGGGACCCACCAGTGGCAGGGGGCTCCAGTCCCCTTCCTTTGCTTTTTTGCATTCGTCTGTTGGTAGGATTGCCGGAAAAATGCAAGACACCCAGTTAAATTGGAATTTCAGATAAACAAATAATTTTTTAGCTTAAGTATGTTTCATGCATTAATTGGCATATATTTACAGTAAAAAAATTGTGTTATTTATCTGAAATTCAAATTTAACTGAGCATCCTGGTTTTTTGCTTTTTTTAATTTTGTTTTACTAAATCTGGCAACCCTTTCAATTTGGTCATGGAAAATCGCTTACAGCATGTGAATTCTTCTAGTCTTCACTGTCTTTCACTGGAATGGAAGCCTTTTTCTCCTCACCCTTTGCTTTCCACAAGAGGGCATCAAGGAACTTAACCTGCCTACATGGTGGGTTTCTATTTAAGACATCTTTATGATTATATTTAACCTGTAATTGTGCTTTGGCTAAATGTCTAACTTACAGTACTTGTAATTGTTTAATATTCAATAAAAACATTTTTAAATATACTGTATGTGGATAGCACTCAGCTCTGAAGTGTTTTCATTTCCCTGTTTGTTCATTTCAACCTGATCAACCGTAATGCAACTGACCTAAAACTGTGGGAATACCAATAACAATTCTCCCTCTTGTCTTCCTGGTGAGATCTGGATGGGCAGAGCCTTGTCCTCACCCGTAAGCCCACAGGAGAGTGACTCAAGTGCAGCAATAGCAGGAGCGGCCCAGCTTCCTTTGAGAAATATCTCAGAAAAGAAGGGGTGCAGGCTTTGGAGGCAGACCTCGCACCAGTTCCCGGGGCAGCTCAGAGTCCCCACACAGAGTCTATTACCCAGAGACTCACGCCCTCCACCTGCTGTATTTTGGGGGGAAGAAGGGAGAGACTTCCTCCCTCATATAATGGTAAACATGAAATGCCTAGCACAGTGCCTGGCCCAGAGGAGTAGGAAAGTTTTTTCCCTTTACTTCTGCTCTCCTTTCTCCATGCCTAGTGATTCATTAGATAGTAAACTGAAAACCAGAATGTTACCTGTAATTTCTTCTCCAGAGGGATTGTCAGAGTCACAAGGAGACATAAATTAAGTACTTGGAAGCACTGTAATAACCCTGCAAATAACAATGAACAAGATACTTTGTGTACATTGTCATTAATGCTAACAACGCTGCAAAATATATATTTTAATCCTCATTTTATAGATGGAGAAACTGAGACTCAAAGTGATGAAATATGTTATATCCCAGAATTCTTTCCACTATAGACTGTGATACCAATTGATATTGTAGGAAAACACAACTTGGGACCCCAAAATATGTCTCTTTGTCATAAGGATTATATTAGGCTGGTTGTTTTTAAGAAACAGGGAACATAGAAGAATCTCTGAAAACCAAGTAGAAGTTACCCTTTGTAAAGACATTTACATTCCTTAGGGAAATCTCCATTTGTAAGGATGTCTTCTTCACTGTACCAGGAAAAGGGAGGTGAGCTTATCTCTAGAAACTCTTATCAATGCAGAAAGCTGTGACTTAAATCTGCATAACAACCTTACCCTTGTTTACTGTGCTTTCTCGATAACCTCTCATAACTGACCCCCCCACCACAACATCTTTTGTCTTTAGCTGAAGATGGTATTTGTGATGGTGGTTTGGCCATTTTGGCAAGTTATTCAGTTTTCCTGGTTCTCTCCCATGTATACAGGAGGTATACATGTTATTAAACTTTTGTTTTTCTCCTGTTAATCTGTCTCATGTCAATGTAATTCTTAGACCAGCCAGAAGATCTTAGAAGGGTAGAGGAGAAATTGCTTTCTCCTCGACAGTTGGTAAGCCAGCCAGCAGACTTCACTAGTAGGACGCTGCTCTCTCTGGGAGGACTGCAGCTGAGAGATCCTGGACCTCTGACAGGAGCTGGCAGAAGGTAAGAGTTCTTACCATGTCAGTCTTCTGGATCTCTGCTTGCAGGGTCCGAAGGAAGTGAAAGCAGAGATTTTTCCTTTCCAAATTTAATTTAGCAGGAGAAAATATTTGTGTAGCTGGTTCCTTGGACTTAGCAACTCTGGTAAATTTGGTAGAGTACTCTTGGCTTTACTGACCCATTTCCTCCTGGAGATGATCATTGTTTGTCTTTGTCTCTGTCTGTTGTCTTGTTTATCTTGTTTTGTGTCTTAAGAGCTTACTTTGTGACCAATGAGAATATCATCTCTGGTCTCCACCGTCCGGAAGGTGCACTTACTTGGGTGCATCTTGGTAGCCAGTTGAATGGACCAGGGTTCCAAGACACAAGGTCAGAAGCAGCACTCTCTCTGGCCATGCCAATTCTCAAGGGATTTGTCGTAAGGGGTCCTCTTCCATAAGGGGCCTTTGTCATCTCAACCTTCGTTGCTTTGTTAGTGCTGGAAAAGCTCATTCCAGTACCACCTTCCCAGGGTCACAAATTAGCAGTTTTCTGACTGGAAGTATCTCACATTTTTGTGGAGATCGGAGACACCATTTTCACTACTCCATCCTTACTGCCTGTGCAATGAAAGCCTTTGCTTTCTCAGACTATTTTGAGAGTGAACTTTCTGGATCTTGTGAGGGCTGTATCCTTTGCCCTTTCCTTTTGGGCCACCTCCATGATTAAGCCATAAAAAGGCTCATTGGTTGGAGTCAATATTGAGAAGATCCTACTTGTCAATGACCAGACAATTGACCCTGTAGATTGGAAAAACTTCTAAATTTGAAAAATTTTTTTAGAGAGTTCTCAGTCTAAATAATTGTCCTGAAGTTCTAGAACATAGAAGTCTTTCAATTTCCATCTTAGTTGAAACTCCCTCATTTAAAAACAAGTTTAGTTGGATGGGCAGGTCAGTCCTTTGATAGGCTAGGAATTGAAAACAACTGTCTTTGTCTTGCACATCTGCAAAACCAGGAATGGCTCCAGAAACAGTTCAAAAGCTCACGTACATTTACCATCCCCCAAACCTGCTCTATTCTTCTCAAAATGCTTGGAGATATTAGGATATTAGAAATAGAATTGTCCTGCACTTAAAAATTTAAAGTGCCTGAGACCTCTGATAATAGGCAAAAATGCCCCAAAAACTCCATCTTAGAGAAAACTTGAATACTTTTCTCTGTGCCTTTGTAATGTAAATTTTATACCCCCATCTTCTCTGGGAACTAAGATCCATTCTTTGATATTCAAACCTTAGGGAGAAGTTTCTCATCAGAAGGAAGGAAAAAAAGGAAATATTTGGAAATTGGTCAAATGAAAAAACTTTAAATGTCCTCTCCACAAATATTAGTAAAAAGCTTTAGCAAGTGAACTTAACTTTTTCCAACTGCCAAAACAAAATTTGGATCCAACTGTTCTTTTTTTTTTTTTTTTAAAGATTTTATTTTTTTTCCTTTTTCTCCCCAAAGCTCCCCAGTACATAGTTGTGTATTCTTCGTTGTGGGTTCTTCTAGTTGTGGCATGTGGGACGCTGCCTCAGCGTGGTCTGATGAGCAGTGCCATGTCCGCGCCCAGGATTCGAACTAACGAAACACTGGGCCGCCTGCAGCGGAGTGCGCGAACTTAACCACTCGGCCACGGGGCCAGCCCCCCAACTGTTCTTTTATAAACTAGTAAATCTTGTGTTGCTCCTGATTCATAACCATAATTTAATGAAAGCTATAAGATCTCTGTTTGCATCTATGTGTTTGTATGTGTGTTCATATATGTATGTTGTGATTTTTTCTTTTTTTACCTCTGGATAGTATTGCCAAAATTAGTTGGTAATGAGTGATATTCAATTGGATCTAAAACAAACAATCACAGTAATTAAGGATTGAGTCTTCTAAATTCTCAGAAACATACTAGAAATGAACCCAAATGAATTTCAAGTTTATGTGATCTGGGAAAACATTAGGTATTAAAGCTAGTTTAAGTTGGTTGTTAATTAAAGCAGACATGTCTTTAGAGTTAGTAACATTGACTATAACACAGATAAACAACTTATATTCTACCTGGGTTTACTAGTCAAATTTATCTCTGTTACAAAATTTGTCAGGAAAATATGTATATTTTATAAAATAATATATAATATTAAAGTATTATATATCAATAATATTTATAATAAATATACAAAGTATATTAAATATATATTAAAATAATAAAATATACATGTTAGCTTAGAATTATAGCTGACTTTGTCTAATGAAGTTATTGTAGATAATCTAAACAATTGATATGAACAGATGATTTAAATAGATTTAAATAAGAAAAGGTTTTAGGTGAACTTTTTCACAATAATTATGTGTTATGTTTTATGTACTTGAAAGTAGCATGAAAATCTTTTTGGTAACTTGAAACCTTAGAGTTTTGCTAAATTAAGTTAAATGATGGAAATTTATTGAATATCTAGATCATTTCCAAATAAGATAAAATACTGAACATTAATTACTAAACATAGGATTATCTACTTTTGGCTTCTTATTATAGAGAAACTAAAAGATAAATTTAGGTCTGGTAGTAAACATGTCTTATGCTTTATTGAAAATTGTGCTATAGAGAAGCATATGTCTGTGGAAATTATAAAGTGTATTTATAAGTTTGCCAATCAAAAAAATACTGGTATAAGAAACAATTCACAATTGCTTACTTCTTAGTTTTCACTAGGAATTAAGGTTTCTAATGATTAAAAATTCTGATTAACATATATAATTAAAACTACTAAAATAATAAGGGGGACATCTTAGTATAAAATGTGTTTTCAGTAAAACAAAAAAAAAAAGAAGTATAAGGAATGAATCGCATTTATTAAGAGAAAACAAAAAGTTCTTTTGTCCTAAAAAGAGGTTAAAGAAAAAGAGAGAAAAGGAAAGCATAGGAGAAAATCTGAATATAAAAAAGGAAGTTATAGAAGGTTTGTGGAAAAGGAACTTTGAGAAAAGAGTTTTATGCTTAATCAAGCCAAGATTGGAATGAATTTAAGTAAGTGAGTTTTAGTATCAAAAGTAAGCTGGTACAAAATTAGAATTTGGTTTTTTCTCTGTTAAAAGGACAAAGTTATTTTGAACTTTGGTCTGCTCTTGGTAAAGAGATTATGAAAGATTTTCTTTACCTTTGATTAGTCTGCCTAAAAAGCAGGGATTTATGTTTTATCCAAATAATTTCCTGTGTTGTTTTATCAGGTCTTTGATTACAAGAGCTAAGTTTTACTTACAACTTTTTCACTTTCTATATTTGCCTGCAAAGTCTTTCTCACCACGGTTAAATGCATAACTAAGTATTGTTTCACAGTAACCTAGGATCCTATATGACCAAATGTTCTAAAACCTTTTGATATTTTTGGCAAACTTCCCAAAATAAAATTTTAAATCAAGTCTTTTTGACTTCTAGCTAACTTTGGGATTTTTCAGAGGGCTCCTGAAAAATCTCAAAGAGAGATATTAAACTAATTAGCTTATTTGGTATGTTAAATTGCATAGGAAGCATTGATAAGCATAGGAAGCATAGGAAGTGATGATAAACCTTAAGTTATATTGCATGGATGAATG